GGAGTCGGAACATGCCGAAGTTTGGCTTTCCTACTCCACGGTAGCCCAGGAAAGGGCCCGACCTGTCAACAGAGTGATAATGTAGGCCACCCGGCCCTGCTCCATTGGAAAGGAGGAGGGTTGTTGGCTGAACATCAGGGAACACTGGGTGAGGAATTCCCTGCAGCCCTCTGGACGTCCGTCGTACTCTCCGGAGGTGGTAGGCGGGGTTGCCGCAATGTCGCAGGCAAGACTGGAGACGCCGCTGCCGCAGCTTCCGCGCCGCCGGCTGCCAGGACTGGTCGGGTGTCCACTCGGCTCTGCACGGCGATCGTCAGCTGGCGGAGATTCTCAATTATCTGCTGCAGGCTGCGGTCGTGCTGACCAGCATGGCTCCCTGCGCTGCCAATGCGCTATAATACTATGCTGCCTCCGCTGGGTCCATATTGGCTCAGTTTTCTGTAAGGGTTGGTGTGAGGTGTGACCCAGGTGTGGTGCAGGATAGACAGTAGGCAGTAGGCAAGGATGGTGAAACAAGGATCTTTACTGGTGGTCCAAAAGCCAGGATACAAACAACGGACTATACACGAAAACAAATGAGGAGCACATAGGTCTCCAAAAAACAGGCTGACAGCAAACAATACCAAATACTAACTGGAAAAACACAATGACATAGGGAGAACACTTCTCGAGTACCTGTAACTCTGTCACGTGATACGTCACTGATATGTACTGCTTGACATCAAGGAACTAGCAGAGAAAACTGAGAAAGGGAACACAGGGAAGTGAGGGCATAAATAAACAGGTGAATCAGATAGTCACAGGTGACACCAATTGGCAGATAATTGGTCCCGACTATGAGTGAGGAGGTGCCTAAGGTTGTCGGAGGATGACACCTAGTGGGTCGCTCCGGAACTGCGACCCACTCCTGTAAGACATCTCATGAGATTGAGGGCCGCACTACAATGCTACTGTGATGGGTAGAACTTGTTATTTCATGAAACTACAGAGATAGAAAAAACATAACTGTCACGACTTCCGCCGAGGCTGCCTCCCCTCCTTGTTCGGGCAGGCTTCGGCATTCATCGTCACCGGCTTACTAGCCACTGCCGCTCCATATATCATCATTCCATTTGTCTTGTCTTGTCAATTACACACACCTGGTTCTTTTCCCCTCATTAGTCAGTGTATAAGTGTTCCCTCTGACCCCCTTGTCCTTGTGGGTGATTGTTTATTGTGAGGGTAGTGTAGCTCGGTGGAGCTACTCGCACCTTGTATTGCCGGGGTAGATATTTCCCCTGTGCCTGTATATTGTTGGAGTATCCCGTACCGTGTATTGCCGGGGTAGATAGTTTCCGCTGTGCCTGTTTTCGTTTGCCACTATCCAGCGCAATTGTGTACGACGGAATAAACTCTGTATTCGGTGATTTACCCTCCTGCGCCTGACTCCTTCTATCACACTCATCACAATATTGTATTGATATGTAGCTACTCATCTTATTTAAGACCAGACTAATTTAGTAATAAGCAATGTACAGTTGAAGTCGTAAGTTTACATACACTTAGGTTGGAGTCATTAAAACTTGTTTTTCAACCACTCCAAAAAAGTATTGTTAACAAACTATAGTTTTGGCAAGTCAGTTAGGACATCTACTTTGTGCATGACACAAGTCATTTTTCCAACAATTGTTTACAGGCAGATTATTTCACTTATAATTCACTGTATCACAATTCTAGTGGGTCAGAAGTTTACATACACTAAGTTGACTTTGCCTTTAAACAGCTTGGAAAATTCCAGAAAATTATGTCATGGCTTTAGAAGCTTCTGATAGGCTAATTGACATCATTTGAGTCAAATGGAGGTGTACCTGTGGATGTATTTCAAGGCCTACCTTCAAACTCAGTGCCTCTTTGCTTGACATCATGGAAAAATCAAAAGAAATCAGCCAAGACCTCCACAAGTCTGGTTCATCCTTGGGAGCAATTTCCAAATGCCTGAAGGTACCACGTTCATCTGTACAAACAATAGTACGCAAGTATAAACACCATGGGACCACGCAGCCGTCATACCGCTCAGGAAGGAGACGCGTTCTGTCTCCTAGAGATGAACGTACTTTGGTGCGAAAGTGCAAATCAATCCCAGAACAACAGCAAAGGACCTTGTGAAGATGCTGGAGGAAACAGGTACAAAAGTATCTATATCCACAGTAAAACGAGTCCTATATCGACATAACCTGAAAGGCCGCTCAGCAAGGAAGAAGCCACTGCTCCAAAACCGCCATAAAAAAGCCAGACTACAGTTTGCAACTGCAGATCGTACTTTTTGGAGAAATGTCCTCTGGTCTGATGAAACAAAAATAGAACTGTTTGGCAATAATGACCATCGTTATGTTTGGAGGAAAAAGTGGGTCGCTTGCAAGCCAAAGAACACCCTCCCAACCGTGAAGCACGGGGGTGGCAGCATCATGCTGTGGGGGTGCTTTGCTGCAGGAGGGACTAGTGCACTTCACAAAATAGATCGCATCATGAGGAAGGAAAATTATGTGGATATATTGAAGCAACATCTCAAGACATCAGTCAGGAAGTTAAAGCTTGGTCGCAAATGGGTCTTCCAAATGGACAATGACCCCAAGCATACTTCCAAAGTTGTGGCAAATTGGCTTAAGGACAACAAAGTCAAGGTATTGGAGTGGCCATCACAAAGCCCTGACCTCAATCCTATAGAAAATGTATGGGCAGAACTGAAAAAGTGTGTGCGAGCAAGGAGGCCTACGAACCTGACTCAGTTACACCAGCTCTGTCAGGAGGAATGGGCCAAAATTCCCCCAACTTATTGTGGGAAGCTTGTGGAAGGCTACCTGAAACATTTGACCCGTTAAACAATTTAAAGGCAATGCTGCCAAATACTAATTGAGTGTATGTAAACTTCTGACCCACTGGGAATGTGATGAAAGAAATAAAACCTGAAATAAATCATCCTCTCTACTATTATTCTGACATTTCACATTCTTAAAATAAAGTGGTGATCCTAAGTGGTGATTTTACTAGGATTAAATGTCAGGAATTGTTAAAAACTGAGTTTAAATGTATTTGGCTAAGGTGTATGTAAACTTCCGACTTCAACTGTATGTATATCATGTTCACAAATGCTTTCATCTGAACACATCAATAGAAACACAATAGCCACTGTCTTCTACTGCAGCTGTACTTACAGCGGAAATTTGATCATCTACATTACATGACCAAAAGTATGTGGACTCCTGCTCGTCTGACGTCTCATTCCAAAATCATGGGCATTAATATGGAGTTGGTCCACCTTTTGCTGCTATAACAGCCTCCACTAGATGTTGGAACATTGCTGCGGGGACTTGCTTCCATTCAGCCACAAGAGCATTAGTGAGGTCGGGCACGCAGTCGGTGTTACAATTCATCCCAAAGGTGTTCGATGAGGTTGGGGTCAGGGCTCTTTGCAGGCCAGTCAAGCTCTTCCAAACCAATCTCGACAATCCATTTCTGTATGGACCTCGATTTGTGCATGGGGGCATTGTCATGCTGAAATAGGAAAGGGCCTTCCCCAAACTGTTGCCACAAAGTTGGAAGCACAGAATCATCTAGAATTTCATTGTAGCATTAAGATTTCCCTTCACTGGAACTAAGGACCCTAAACCATGAAAAACAGCCCCAGACCATTATTCCTCTCCCACCAATCTTTACTGCTGGCACTAGGCATTCGGGCAGGTAGCGTTCTCCTGGCATCTGCCAAACCCAGATTTGTCCATTGAACTGCCAGATGGTAAAGCATGATTCATCACTCCAGAGAACGAGAATGGGTTTCGACTGCTCCAGAGTCCAATGGCGGTGAGCGTTACACCACTCCAGCCAATGCTTGGCATTGCGCATGGTGATCTTAGGCTTGTGTGCGGCTGCTCGGCCATGGAAACCCATTTCATGAAGCTCCCGACAAACAGTTATTGTGCCGATGTTGCTTCTGATGCAACCGAGGACAGACGATTTACAGAGGACAGATGATTTTTACGCACTACGCGCTTCAGGACTTGGTGGTCCTGTTCTGTGTGCTGGTGGGGACTACCATTTCTCGTTGTTGCTCCTAGACTTGACCGGGGTAGCTCTAGCAGGGCAGAAATTTTACCAACTGACTTGTTGGAAAGGTGGCATCCTATGATGGTGCCATGTTGAAAGTCACTGAGGTCTTCGATTGTATACACCTGTCAGAAATGGGTGTGGCTGAAATAGCCGAATCCACTAATTTGAAGGGGTGTCCACGTATATATAGTGTATTACCAACCAAGAACTGTCAAATCAACAGAGGATCTCTAAGTAAGTATAGAACCAAAGGAATTTGAATTTTTAAGTTGTCTCTGCTAATATTTTTTTAAATGAAAATATTGAATGTATAATTTCTATTCAAATTTATTGTGGTTTCCCCGTTCAAACACCTGTGTGGGGTTCGGTTTCCAAGCTTCTGAATAAAGTCAAATTTGCACAATACTCATAAGGCATGTACGATATCAGATATGGGCTTTGGTGGTATGTTTTTCAGTCTCTAGAGGAGGAGAAAGAGGTAGTAGCACATGGGATGATGTGCTGTGTGTTGTGTGAGGTACTGCACTGCTCTCTTGTGGAATCAGAGTATAGTATGATGGGGCTGGTTGGAAAGGTAAAACCACAACGTTTTTACCCCAAGTGAAAAACCCAAGTGATAAAACTGTAACAGAAAAGGCACAAAACATATAAGTGAAACAATCAATTTTACATTATGGGCCCATGCATTTGCAGAACAGAATAAAGTGGCAAAGGCTAACAGAATACATGAATCTCCAAGAATGTAACAATAATATGTATGAAGAATAGGCCTACTACTGATGTATATAGATATAGCAGCGCAAAATGATAGCAGCGCAAAATGATTACATGTATAATGTGATTCCGAACCACACAAACTGTCTTGACTGCACTACAAATCCCACCATCATCAGCGCATGCCCACCCGGCATGAGCTCAATTTGTTTGGACGTCATCAACATGAGAACCAGACGGCTCGGAGATCAAAAACAAGAAGCTAGCTGGCTTTCAAGCTGGTAGGCAGGCTGTTATAACTTCGTCTGAATTTATAACTTAGCTAAGGACATCCAAACAGAGATAAGATAGGTAAGATATAAGTGAAACAAAGTCAAAGATACACGGGCGTCGGATAGGATAGGAGGACAACTTTTCCCCGGAAAGGTGGGAATTTGTTTTCATTTGATTTGGTTGGCTAACGCTAGCTTAACCTAATAACGTTACTGTACGTTAGCTAACGGTAGCCAACAACAGTTGCAAGACTCCTTCCTGGACTTGTCGAAGTTGCAAAGTTAGCTAACTAGCCAGCTAGCTGAAAAGCCATAATCAGGATAAGCTCCTTCCAAGCTAGAAAGCCATTTTCTTTTGTGTTTCGCATTAGATACTATACTGTCACTCGTCCGGTCTTTGTAGCTGGACCCTCCTTAGATTAAAATCATGGCGTGTGGAGCGACCCTGAAAAGGACCATGGAGTTTGATCCATTGATGAGTCCGACGTCGCCTAAAAGGAGAAGGTGTATCCCGGTTTCCCCATCATCCCCACGGAAATACCTTCGCATGGAGCCGTCACCATTTGGAGAGGTGTCGTCAAGACTATCAGCTGGTAAGTAACGTTAGCTAGTTAGCTAACTTACCGGAAAAACCCAACTTGGTACCAGACATCTAACGTTAGCTAGCCAGGCCAGTGTGCTAGCTTTCTGCATGGCCAGCAAACTCTTAACTTGGCATGCTATTTTACAAGACCATGCTAGATGTTAGCCAATAGTTAGATGCTCGTGTTATTGCAGCATATCTACCTATCTTGAAAAGATAACATGACGTTGACACGGCATGTTGACATTGGGAAGATCTCAATTGCATACTCCTCGCAACCTCTGGAACCGCACTTTCTCATCCAGTGGGTTTTGAGAAGGACACAAGTAGAGAGGACGCGAGGAGTATGCAATTGATCTTTCCATGATATCGGCTTGGTACTGGCCCTTTTTGTGTTACACAGCATAAGAGGAGCTATAAGGATTGCACTGTAACGTGAGGCCTCCATTAGATGTGACAAGTTGTTTGACTAACTTCCTCCCTGAATAATTTTGACCCATGCTGTGTACTATATCATTCAAGAGCAAATTCTGAACAACATCAAGCAGGAGTACAAGCGCATTCAGAAGAGAAAACACATTGATGTCGTTTACCAACAGACAGAGGGTTGCTACTCCCCAGAGTCTCCACCCCCTCTTAGTGCATCCAGTATGCCAGGTTTGTTGTAGTGTACTGTTAGCCTATACTGTTAGCCTTGCAAGGTTCAATGTCGGTCTTTGAGGGCCGAAACACTTCTCGTTTTCATCTTGTCCTGCTAAAGGACTGATTCAGACTTGGGACACCAGGTAAGTGCAATTAACTACCAGGTAGAAACAAAAAAACAGAAGTGTTTCGGCCCTCCAGGACCGGAATTGAACAGCCCAGACCCTAAACCCTGGTGAGGGGAGATCCAGAGTACATGATGAACTAAAGAAACTAAACTCCCTTTTCCCTCCAACATGCAAATTACCTAATTGCTCTCCTCATGTCCTCTGCAGGCACATCGGCTGGAGGTTCTTCTCCATCAAGGAAAGAACAGCCCTTATTTACTCTTAGACAAGTTGGAATGATTTGTGAACGTCTACTGAAGGAGCGTGAAGATAAAGTTCGGGAGGAATATGAGGAGACCATGACTTCCAAGTTGGCAGGTGTGTACAGTCAAAATACACAATTCAGAAAGTGCAGCATATGGTGGTATGTGATTTTTACAGTTAGAGACAAATTAAACCCCTCCCTTTCCTCCCACGTTTCTATTACAGAACAATATGACACTTTTGTGAAGTTTACACATGACCAGTTGATGCGAAGATTTGGAGAGCAACCTGCAAGCTGTGAGTTTATTTTTCTCCTCTTTTTTAGAAGATTCTCAGTGCATGTACCATTCAATTGCTGAATGCAAGAAGGCTACTGTTACACTTGAATGGAAAACCTAAAAGTTATAGTAACATGGCTGGTTTTCTCTTTTCTTTTTATCCCTTTTCCAGATGTTTCCTGAAAGCGACCCAGACTGCCAGGTGACCTGTTGCCGCAAGCTGTCGAGTTTAAATCTTTGGAAATCACCGCAAGAGATTCAGTTGGTTTAATGAAACTTTTCTTACTGTGCCATATTTCTCCTTTGGGCAAAGGTTTATAAGCCGTTGTCAGTGGCTATCACTCTCTCTCGCAAGCAGCTAGGTGCTTCCTAATGTAAATGTATAGACCCTCTACCAGTGGGCCTATGTTTCTCCTGCTGTACTTGTATCGATAAGGCCTCACTCTTACAAGGAATTCCAAACGTTATTCATTGTTTTATTTCTTTGTTACACACACACACACATATGATAAAGCAATGTAGAAATCCATGTAAGGTTTGCTGGTCAATCTATGAGCAAGTGGAAGATGCAGGTTAATATGGTTTGGAGAAGAGAATTTGTAGATGCCCCAGTTACTTTTTTGTATGGGACTTTACAAAGTGTAAATTTAATTCTGTTGATTTTTTTTCCCTTTCAAAATGTTTATTTTATTTGGACATTTTTGTTTTCCTGGTATTACTTTCAAACCTATGTACTTAGTGGAAAACCAAACAATAAAATGTTTTAAGACTTATGATTTCAAAGTGTCATGCTGTCACAACAGGGTAATGCTCTAATTAACTCAAGTACTACCAGTGTTTCCCCTATACGCATTTAGAAGCGGCGGTTAAATTGTGGCCGCCACTGCAAATTAAAGTGCGACTGACTTTGAAAACGGCCTATGTGGCATCAATATGAATCAAACAGTTATTCTAGTGTCAAAATTGACTAAGTGTAAATAGGATAATTTGGTCATAGTCTCGTCTAAAACAGAGTTTGGAACATCTGTACGTCACACCGGCGTACACGTCACTGACAATCTGAAATGGTTCACCCACACAGTGCCGTGAAGAAGGCGCAACAGCGCCTCTTCAACCTCAGGAGGCTGAAGAAATTTGGCTTGGCCCCTAAGACCCTCAAACTTTTACAGATGCACAATTGAGAGCATCCTGTCGGGCTGTATCACCGCCTGGTACGGCAACTGCACCACCTGCAACCGCAGGGCTCTCCAGAGGGTGGTGCGGTCTGCCCAACGCATCACCGGGGGCAAACTACCGCCCTCCAGGACACCTACAGCACCCAATGTCACAGGAAGGCCAAAAAGATCATCAAGGACATCAACCACCCGAACCACAGCCTGTTCACCCCGCTATCATCCAGAAGGCGAGGTCAGTATAAGTGCATCAAAGTTGGGACCAAGATACTGAAAAACAGCTTCTATTTCAAGGCCATCAGACTTAAATAGCCATCACTAGCCGGCTACCACCTGGCTACTCAACCCTGCACCTTAGAGGCTGCTGCCCTATATACAAACATGGAATCACTGGCCACTTTAATAATGGAACACTAGTCACTTTAATAATATTTACATACTGCTTTACTCATCTCATATGTATATACTGTATTCTATTCTACTGTATTTTAGTCAATGCCACTCCGACATTGCTCGTCCTAATATTTATATATTTCTTAATTCCATTCTTTTACTTTTAGATTGGTGTGTTTTGTTGTGAATTGTTAGATACTACTGTACTGTAGGAGCTAGGAACAGAAGCATTGCTACATCTGCTAAAAATGTGTATGTGACCAATAACATTTTATTTGAAACCTCATTAACCAAACGTGGAATCGGTCAGGAAACACACCTTCAAGACTGAAATAATTTTTTTCCTAATGAGCAACAGAAAAACTTGTGCCAATCGGCATGTTCAGTAGCTCTTTAAAGAAAAGAGGACAAAGCAATACATTTAATTGTAGAACATTTTTGGGATGGTAAAACGTTTTCAGTGTAAACATAAGTGACTAAAACCAGAAAATATGTAGAAAAGATAATGGCACACTTATTTTAAATATAACTACATCTTTGACAACTAACAAGCACCAAAAAATTGAATGGGGCCTCCATTGATTGAGTCACTAATATAGCATAAGAACAAGGCAAAATGTGTACAATTGCAGGAAATTAGCTTTAAAACTGCATATTTTCTCTCAGCCCCATGGCAAAATGAGTGGAATTGCAGGAAATTAGCTTTGAAACTGCAATTAACTTTGCCACCTTGGGGAAACACTGACTGATGTTAAAACGCTAACGAGTAATCAAGTACATAATTATAAAATACCTACGATATCAGCGGGATCTATCAACTCAAGTCATTTCTGTCATTGCACCACAACTTGGCTCCCTGCCACCACTATGGAGTTACCAAGTCCCAGTTAACACTTCATCTTTGATTTGGCCCTGAAGTGTTGGAATGATCCAGTCGCAGCGGTTGTCACCCATTTTCTTCCACCGCATGAGGACCAATCTGTTCCCATTGCATCTTTACAAATGAATGCACCCCTGAGAACTTCATTTGTGATACTGCTACTTGGTAAGACTGATGGTGTTTCATATAATTGTACATACACTTCTCTTTGAGTGTGTGTGTGTGTTACTGGAATAAACTGTAAACATATTTGCATTTTTACACCTTTTAAGAGCACACTGATGAGCAAATCACGGTACTCAATTCAAATCACATTTTTATTCAAAAACAATTGACACATACCATACAGCACAAGTTCCCAGACAGTGAATCAGCAGCCTCCCCAGGTCAGTCGTGACACATGGTCCGTCTTCTGCTTGGTGGATTTGATGAATCCCAGGAACTCCAGCTCAGATACGGCCTGAATAAAACGAGCACTTGAAGGAGTTGAGGAACAATGTGAAAAAGCAGAACGTAATCATTTATCTAGGCTATGGGAGAGGACCTGTGGTAGGAAAAGTATTTTGTAAATGGTACCAGTAGGGCTGTTGCAGTGACCGTATTACTGCCACTTGACTGTTAAATCACGGTAATTTCCTCTTATGCACTCTGGACATGCATTGGTAGTACCCAACTCCTTATCGACCGTCAAGGCACTATTGTCCCTCTAACCACTCTGACATCCATGCAAATACAATCGAAAATAACAACAAACACTTATCATGAAAACAGAATCAAGCTTTTAAAACTCACATCTCACTGTGATAGATTAATTTTAAGAAAAGTTCAACAGGTTGAAACATGATCGTTTTGGATGTTGTTTCAAAGCCTTAATACAACGAAATGAACAGCGCTTTCTAAGGTGATGATTAATTCAAAAACATGCATATTAGAGCTTATGCACACACATATGCCTGAGCCCCCCTGCCCCCCCATAAAGTAATTAAAATAATGATTGTGCCGTTATACAATACATAGCCTACAGCATATTACACATGCAGAAAAGTAATACAAAAAGACTGAAGTTGTCTTTGGCACATATTTGGTCTAGCCTATACTCCAATATCAAACTAATTCTAGTAATGGCTTTTGAGTGTAGACTGTATTATGCATACTAGATGGCCCTTACGCTACACTCCAAACGTTCCATCCATGAGTCTGGGAGAACATATAGGCCTAGGCTGTTGGTTCATTGATTGTGCAGGGCAGCTTAGAGTTAACCTACAATTATAGTGTATTTGATTTGGATTAGCCTAGTAATAGGGCATTGTTTTATATTTTCATAATAGGCTGACATTACCTTCAGCAACAGAATATCTCACCACCGTGCTCTCCTTCATTCCTTTCTCGAGCGCACAGAGAGAGGGGCTGTCAACAGTTTAATAAAATGTGTTTTGTGAAAACATGTTACTACCGATGTTCCCGAACAGATTTCACTTGGTTTCCAAAATTAAGCACTGGGTAGCTGCAGGAACAGGGTTGGAGAGCCCATGGCATATAGAATTTTGGCGGAATATCACCTGTCGCGCAGCAAGAGGCTGCATGCTCCTCAAACAGTGGTTGAGGCATGGAGTGAAATAAGTGTTCTTATAAGCCCAGACATTTCTATATGCAATCCCGTGTGAAAGCAGAGTTTTGATGGTTGCCACTAAAAAGAGGAGGATCCCAGCTGCTACTATATTAATTTCTCAGCTGCTATTATTAAATTGAGAATAGTCTGATGGGTGAAAATACACTGTACAAAACATTAAGAACACCTTCCTAATATTGAGTTGCATACCAGTTAAATTGAAAGTGCTTATGATAGGATACTTGTCTATTCAGAGTATTTTACATTAGTCATTTACAGTGCCTTGCAAAAGTATTCATCCCCCTTGGCGTTTTCCTATTTTGTTGCATTACAACCTGTAATTTAAAATGGATTTTTATTTGGATTTCATATAATGGACATACACAAAATAGTCAAAATTGGTGAATTAAAATGAAAAAAATAACTTATTTCAAACAATTCTAAAAAAAAAAAAATACCGGAAAAGTGGTACGTGCATATGTATTCACTCTCTTTGCTATGAAGCCCCTAAATAAGATCTGGTGCAACCAATTACCTTCAGAAGTAACATAATTAGTTAAATAAAGTCCACCTGTGTGCAATCTCTCTCTCATACATATACATATATATACATATATTATATATACATATATTATATATACATACATATATACATATATATATATACACATACATACAGTGAGGAGAACAAGTATTTGATACACTGCCGATTTTGCAGGTTTTCCTACTTACAAAGCATGTAGAGGTCTGTAATTTTTATCATAGGTACACTTCAACTGTGAGAGACGGAATCTAAAACAAAAATCCAGAAAATCACATTGTATGATTTTTAAGTAATTAATTTGCATTTTATTGCATGACATAAGTATTTGATCACCTACCAACCAGTAAGAATTCCGACTCTCACAGACCTGTTAGTTTTTCTTTAAGAAGCCCTCCTGTTCTCCACTCATTACCTGTATTAACTGCACCTGTTTGAACTCATTACCTGTATAAATGACACCTGTCCACACACTCAATCAAATAGACTCCAACCTCTCCACAATGGCCAAGACCAGAGAGCTGTTTAAGGACATCAGGGATAAAATTGTAGACCTGCACAAGGCTGGGATGGGCTACAGGACAATATGCAAGCAGCTTGGTGAAAAGGCAACAACTGTTGGCGCAATTATTAGAAAATGGAAGAAGTTCAAGATGACGGTCAATCACCCTCGGTCTGGGGCTCCATGCAAAATCTCACCTCGTGGGGCATCAATGATCATGAGGAAGGTGAGGGATCAACCCAGAACTACACGGCAGGACCTGGTCAATGATCTGAAGAGAGCTGGGACCACAGTCTCAAAGAAAACCGTTAGTAACACACTACGCCGTCATGGATTAAAATCCTGCAGCGCACGCAAGGTCCCCCTGCTCAAGCCAGCGCATGTCCAGGCCCGTCTGAAGTTTGCCAATGACCATCTGGATGATCCAGAGGAGGAATGGGAGAAGGTCATGTGGTCTGATGAGACAAAAATATAGCTTTTTGGTCTAAACTCCACTCGCCGTGTTTGGAGGAAGAAGAAGGATGAGTACAACCCCAAGAACACCATCCCAACCATGAAGCATGGAGGTGGAAACATCATTCTTTGGGGATGCTTTTCTGCAAAGGGGACAGGACGACTGCACCGTATTGAGGGGAGGATGGATGGGGCCATGTATCGCGAGATCTTGGCCAACAACCTCCTTCCCTCAGTAAGAGCATTGAAGATGGGTCGTGGCTGGGTCTTCCAGCATGACAACGACCCGAAACACACAGCCAGGGCAACTAAGGAGTGGCTCCGTAAGAAGCATCTCAAGGTCCTGGAGTGGCCTAGCCAGTCTCCAGACCTGAACCCAATAGAAAATCATTGGAGGGAGCTGAAAGTCTGTATTGCCCAGCGACAGCCCCAAAACCTGAAGGATCTGGAGAAGGTCTGTATGGAGGAGTGGGCCAAAATCCCTGCTGCAGTGTGTGCAAACCTGGTCAAGACCTACAGGAAACGTATGATCTCTGTAATTACAAACAAAGGTTTCTGTACCAAATATTATGTTCAGCTTTTCTGATGTATCAAATACTTATGTCATGCAATAAAATGCAAATTAATTACTTAAAAATCATACAATGAGATTTTCTGGATTTTTGTTTTAGATTCCGTCTCTCACAGTTGAAGTGTACCTATGATAAAAATTACAGACCTCTACATGCTTTGTAAGTAGGAAAACCTGCAAAATCGGCAGTGTATCAAATACTTGTTCTCCCCACTGTATACACATATATACATACACATATACATATACATATATATATATATATATACATATACATATACATATACATATATATACAGACACCTGTTCTGAAAGGCCCCAGAGTCTGCAACACCACTAAGCAAGGGGCACCACCAAGCAAGCGGCACCATGAAGACCAAGGAGCTATCCAAACAGGTCAGGGACAAAGTTGTGGAGAAGTACAGATCAGGGTTGGGTTATAAAAAAATATCAGAAACTTTGAAAATCCCACGGAGCACCATTACATCCATTATTAAAAAATTGAAAGAATATGATACCACAACAAACCTGCCAAGAGAGGGCCACCCACCAAAACCCACAGACCAGGCAAGGAGGACATTAATCAGAGGCAACAAAGAGACCAAAGATAACCCTGAAGTTATCTCCACAGCGGAGATTGGAGTATCTGTCCATAGGACCACTTTAAGCCGTACACTCCACAGAGCTGGGCTTTACGGAAGAGTTGGCAGAAAAATGCCATTGCTTAAACAAAAAAATAAGCAAACATGTTTGGTGTTCGCCAAAAGGCATGTGGGAGACTCCCCAAACATATGGAAGAAGGTACTCTGGTCAGATGAGACTAAAATTGAGCTTTTTGGCCATCAAGGAAAACGCTATGTCTGGCGCAAACCCAACACCTCTCATCACCCCGAGAACACCATCAGCGTGGTGGCAGCATCATGCTGTGGGGATGTTTTTCCATCGGCAGGGACTGGGAAATTGGTCAGAATTGAAGGAATGATGGATGGCGCTAAATACAGGGAAATTCTTGAGGGAAACCTGTTTCAGTCTTCCAGAGATTTGAGACTGGGACGGAGGTTCACCTTCCAGGAGGACAATGACCCTAAGCATACTGCTAAAGCAACACTCGAGTGGTTTAAGGGGAAACATTTAAATGTCTTGGAATGGCCTAGTCAAAGCCAAGACCTCAATCCAATTGAGAATCTGCGGTATGACATAGATTGCTGTACACCAGCAGAACCCATCCAACTTGAAGGAGCTGGAGCAGTTTTGCCTTGAAGAATGGGCAGAAATCCCAGTGGCTAAATGTGCCAAGCTTATAGAGACATACCCCAAGAGACTTGCAGCTGTAATTGCTGCAAAAGGTGGCTCTACAAAGTATTGACTTAGTTATGCACGCTCAAGTTCTGTTTTTTTTGTCTTATTTCTTGTTTGTTTCACAATAAAACATATTTTGCATCTTCAAAGTGGTAGGCATGTTGTGTAAATCAAATGATACAAACCCCCCCCCAATAAATCTATTTTAATTCCAGATTGTAAGGCAACAAAATAGGAAAAATGCCAAGGGGGGTGAATACTTTCACAAGCCACTGTAGCAGACGCTCTTATCCAGAGTGACTTACAGGAGCAATTAGGGTTAAGTGCCTTGCTCAAGGGCAAAAATCTACAGATTCTTTGGCTTGGCCATTTGAACCAGCAACCTTTTGATTGCTACCTGCCGCCCCCATGCAGTGCTTGTTTTATTAAACATCTTACCACATATTCTAAATGCATCACAAAGAAGCATTTTAAGACATCCAACAATTAAAGGATACTGTTTGAGTTCGTCCACTTTGCCATAGTCCGCAGAGTCAGGATCCTTGCCCTCTGCAGCCGAGACCACAGTAGCATAAGCCTGCAAATGAATAACAATTCACTCACTCAGTTTGTCTCATTCAATATACCAGCAGGCAAGGCATATATTTTTCTACAGAGGTATAAACCCAGAGATATATACACAGTGTACAAATTCGTCTGGCCATGGACTCTACAAGGTGTCGAAAGCCTTCCACAGGGACGCTGGCCCATGTTGACTACAACGCTTTCCACAGTTGTGTCAAGTTGGCTGGATGTCCTTTGGGTGGTGGACCATTCTTGATACACATGGTAAACTGTTGAACGTAGCAGTGTTGCATTTCTTGACACAAACCGGTGCGCCTGGCACCTAGTACCACACCCCAATCGAAGACACAAATCTTTTGTCTTGCCCATTCACCCTCTGAATGGCACACACACAATCCACGTCTCAATGCTTAAAAAATATTATTTAACCTCTCTCCTCCCCTTCATCTACACTGATTGAAGAGGATTTAACAAGTGACATCAATAAGGGATCATAGCTTTCACGTGGTCAGTCTGTCATGGAAAGAGCAGGTGTTCATAATGTTTTGTACACTCAGTGTATATGATACCAATAATGGTATTTCATTTCATTCTTTATTAAAACCTTTTTTAAACCTACCTCCAGCCAGTCATACAGGTTGATGAGTCTCCCACACTCCAGATGTAGTTTGTACACAATGCAGATGTCAGGAGCAGCATTGGAGACTGTCCCGTCCTCGGTCCGCAGGTTTTCATTCTGAACCACAGATTAGCATCAGTATCAGCTACTGTTTAACACTATACGCTTTGGCTGCGTTGTCTAAAAAGGCAGGCTTATCGCATTCCCTTTCTTTCATCTGCACCGATCTCAAACAATTGTGAACAGGTAAAAGTAAGGCCAATAATGGCAGTCCACCATATTGCTTACACCCATCAAATCTTTACAGATTGGTGCAGATTCGGATACTAGGAACGGTGTTCACTAGATGTTATTGAGACAGCCTCTCAGGGGAGCTATTTACTTTCAGGTAGTGGTAGGGGTTGCTGAGGGCAGTCTGGATGGAGGTGCGTGGCGTGGCATTGAGGTGGCGTCTCAGGACAGCAGAGGAGCTGTAGTAGCACACCTCGTACAGCGGTTGTGATTCGGGTGGGGCCAGGTGGGACCTGAGAACACACAAAAGGTGAGCAGCACCGTCAAATACTGTGCCATCCATTTACACCGAGCTCATCTAAAAGAATGAACGTAATCTATCCAGCCACTGTTGAATCAGTCAATTGATTGGGTTGTATCATTACTGTCTACTACGTCACCTTAAAAATGTCACCTCTCACCTCACAAGGCTGTCAATGAACTCCAGGGCTTGGTCTCGGAGTATCTCAAACTGGCTCATTTTCTTGGTTCTTCGAGATTTCTTCATCTCCAGTAGTGTCTAAAAAGGGGAGGAGAGTCCATGCTGAGAGGCCCTTCATATCACAAGCACTACATAGAATACACATGTTTTAGAGAGGCGGAGATCCATTATACATCAGAAGTGTATGAAACCATTTATTTGAGCAAAATAACTATTCGTTATAGCAGAAAGTTATTACCTTTTGCAGTTGGAACAGGTCTGTTTTCTTCTGGAGGCCTCTCCCTGGGGAAGTGAGGTCCTCCCCAGCTGTACTCTCAGCAGCATCTGATGGGGCAAAAGAGAAGCACATTTCAAGTCGGCTATTTCAACGGGTCCGAAATACATTTGGTGAAATGGGAAACTGTTACAGCCATCATCGCTACTTACCGTCTGGCTGGTCAAATTTGGCGAGTAAATCATCCAGTTGGAACAGTGCAGCCCTCATTTTCTTTGTCTTGCCATGTTTCAGGATCTCAGCACACTTTTGCAGCGCTGAGATGAGCTCGTCTTTAGCCATCATCCTGGGGTGAAAAGTTGAGTGTTGACAAAAGGAGAGCAAACAAACTGAACTTTATCTTAGCAGGTAACAGAGTATATGATAGCGAATATAACGTTGTTTTGCAAAGCAATGTTTATGCTTTATATCAACTTTAAACAATGACTTTGGAATGAATAAATCTATAAACTCCTTTATCACCTCAGAAGCTGCATGGCAGACACATACTCTTCATTCTCCCATACATTCTTCTCCAGACAGGATATGTGCAGCTCTCTTATCTAAAAATAGAGGCATATGTGGAACAGGTGAGACAGTCCGTGCCATGCTCTACAATTCCATTCCTAACGTATGATGTATTATTTCAATGGCAACCTTGACAAACAAAATGTTCCAACCTGTTTCCCCAATGGGTATTTGGGTAGAGAAGCTGTCAGAACGTGGAGACACCTCAGAATGGGGTAGTAGTTCTTGTGGTATTTGCGAAGATCTTTCAGCAGTTTCTGACACACTTCCTAAAAGGAGTGGCAGGACACGCAATCACTCAAGACCAATGGCAATACATTTTGGTAAGCTCATAATTCAGTCATGGCAATATACTGTTCAGAACCTCTCGACAGCACTCAATAATATTTACCTTCACATGGTTGTCACTGGTCAACAGCTCCACTTGCTCCTGGGGACCCTGCTTCTCTACATACCTAGAGGAAAGGTGAGGTAAACACTAAACATCAACACGTTTTTATACAGACAAATCACACAACATTCTAATAACGTTATCCACCATCATATGGGTAGAAGAGTGTGTGTGACGGTCACCTCATGAAGGAGGGCAGCTGTTGGATCCTCTCTACATCCCGGTGGCTGAGCTCAGTGGCGTGGCCCAGGGCCTCCTCCTTCTTACAGCACAGCACGCTCAGAGGCTGGCTGTGGAAGTGCTCCAGTAGCGCCAACTGCGGAGGGGCCCCCATGGTCAACACACACAAACTTAAGAACAAGCAATGCAAAAAATAAGGGAACTAAGAAATTCACAGGAATACACAGTCCAAAATACTACATCCAGCAAACATCTCAAAGTTAGTCTTTGAAAGCCGGTGCAGAGCACAATCAACATTGTGTGTTCAGTCAGTTAAACATCAGTTAAAGGAGAATGCTCATTCTCCAACACAGTCCTAGAATAGTCACCCCAACAATCAGAGGGCAGTCCTCACCTGCAGGCCTTTGATGAAGTTGCGTACAGAGAAGTCGTGGTAGAGGAAGATGCTGACCAGCACCTGCAGTACCTTGCCACTGGGCTTGAAGGGAAACTGGGAAGTTAGGATCACCTGGAGACACAGAGAGGAAAAGCAATACTCAAACTAAAGTCTGAATCCTAACTTGAGATAAACATGAGTAACTCAAGACATGTCATTAATGGGGGTCTTGAGTGAAAATGTTTGTTATGCACGTTGATCTCAAGTTGGTATTCAACTGCAACTTCAGAACCCTGTTGGGTTTTAGGAATAGGGCACAGACAAATATGCTCACTATGTGCCGAATACAACTACATTCACAGTGAATGGATGGATCCATGGTGGCTACAGACCACAGTACCTACCTTGTCTATGACAGTGGCCAGGTGCTGGGTGCAGGACAGGGACTGGAAGAGCTCGATGCCCAGCAGAGAGGACACGGAATGGGGCAGCATGTGTTGAATGGTGCTGGGAGACGTGGCGATGCCAAAGACGAACATCAGAGGAAGCTGTTCAACGTATCGACTGTTGAAGAGAACGGGGAGATTATGCAGCATGTAGCGCATGAACAGTTATGTGAGAGGTGCCATCACACAAGTGTATTTTCAAATTATATACCCATTCAATCAATCTAACAGAGATGGAGGTCAGAGCTCTGTTACCTGCAGATGAGGATGAAGTCTTGCAGCACTCTAGGGTTGAAAGCCTCTAGGTCTTTGAAGATCACTACAATGGGAGGATGCTGTTGCATGTCTTTGCCAACGGAAGAACGCTTTTTGCCTGGGGTGCCGGAGGCAGCTTTCTGAGGGGAACAAATTATTTTTACACAAGATTCATGATTTGTAATGAGCATTTACAGAATGTAGAAATTGTAAGGAGTTGTACATTAAATCATCATAATAGTCCTTACTTGTGTGCAGTAGCTACATACCTTTGTCACAGTCTTGTACCAGTCACAGAGTGTGTTGAGGGAGCAGTGCACCCTCTTCTGGTTTACAATGGTACTGCGCTGCTCAGGCTCTTCCTCATCATCCACGGACACACTAGTACCCATCAGTCTCTCTAGAACCCTCTGCATCATGTGATTCAGGGCTGAGGACAGAACACATTTAAATATTATGATTTGAATTAGGTAGGTAGTATCCACATGTCATAATACAAAAAGGCATGCATATACCTATTATCAAAATAAATCTACCTAACACCAACCTCAAATAGCCATAATACTTGTACAAATTCCATTGTTGATTACTAATAGAAATTAGGGTAATTTCTCAAGTACCACACACATAGGACTGACCTGCACACTCTGTGGCTTGTAGGGAGACGACAAAGGGAGTCACTGACTGCTGCAACTGGTCAGAGAGGCTCTGGAAGGTCATACCGTGATCTGGCACATTCACTCCTACACAGGCAGAGTTACTTAGTGAAGCTCTATCCCACTATGAGAATGTTCAAACAGAAGGATGTAAGGTACATCCTTTTTTCCTCCAGCCAAAACTCTCTATACTAGAGCCATCTCTCAGTCTGTACCTTGGCATTTATCAAAATACACTAATTTTAGGCCTATATCATGGGCCCTGGTCATACCAAAATACTTTTGCATGCGAATTGTCTTTTGAGCCACATACCAAGCACTAGGGCAGCTGTCGGAATCTCGTGTGCTCTCATACGCGACGCCCAGTCATCCGTGCCACGCTGGAAAGTGGACACACTCTTTCTGATGAACGCCAAGAGGCTGTCTAATATTTTCCTGTTCAGCTCATCCTGCAGAAGCTGTAGAAAGTAAACAATGTAAATTGTCATGCCTGACAAAAGCTCGTAACTTTGATCTGGGGTGTATTCAGTGAGCTGAAATCTTCACAACGCTACATATAATAATGTAACAAGTAGAGCTGACACAATCCCCTATTCTGCATGACAGACATATTTATATTGAACAGATATGATTGTCTGTCTGAACATTCCGTTGAGTGGCGCCCTCCTGAACAGGGCCCTGCTGACTGGCATGAGCACAATAATGGCAATGCCCAAAGTTGGGAGGATGATGAACTGAATGCAGGTAGGTTCTCACCTCGGTGTCTGCCTTCATTTTCTCCCATAATGTCTGACAGGTTCTGAAACGTAGTTTGCTGTTCTCTGTGTCCTCACTGCCATGAGTGAAATAATCCTCTGGAGAACACACACACGATACAATTGACACTGATAGTCAATGCTACCCGATACTTTGAATATTCAGTTTCAATAAATAAAGTATAGATTACTGTGTTTAAATATGACCATCGACCCAGCTAGTTATGTATAAGATCACTCACCCACTGTTGGACTCTTCCTTCTCTTTTTGACACTGGGCTTGAACACAAAGCAACCCTAAGCGGGGGATATACATATTATGACGCGATCATTGGGACACTTAAATGGACTGACCAGCAATAACTTAAATTATGTTCTTTGCTATTAGGAATCCTTGGAACGTCGTCGTCCCCCCAGCTAGCTTCCATCGTGGCAAGATTATAAACGCAGCACTCGCTCAGAATACGCTAAGGAAATCGCATTTCAACAATTTACAGTCTTTAGCCTACCTTTGACACCGATGAAGTCATTTCCAGCAGAAATGTGACTGTCCCAGACAGACTACCTTCTGTAAGATATATTATTTCTTCTTTGACCAAACGATTGAATGAAACAAACAAAAACTGTTAGCCGGATGTAACCATTCCACACTTCCTCCAATAGTTCCCGCCGTTGTGACGTATATGAATTTGTGTACAGACCGTGAGCTCATTCAATTATAATTGTATTGTTGGCTGAGTGTTTAAAGATTCATGTTAATGCACATCTGTAAAACAAACCAACAAACTAGGGTGTACTGTCTAAGAGTAAGTTTGTATTGAAAACCAAACAAATGGACTGTGTAAATAGTGTTGCTCATAGCGCAAACGCCTGGCAGATGGTGCTATTATTCCTTTTACGTCGTTTGCCATCTGATGACAAACTACGTAGGATGAATAACAGCGCCATCTGCCGGCCGGTTGGGCTATGTCGCTCACAATTCTCCAACAGTGAGTTGCAATATCTTGCGGAACTTGAACAGGTTGCAAGGAGACCGATAGGGGGAGAGGATCGCCCAATTTGGGCCACAAGTTATAACCATAACAGGCTGAACACCACGCAGAGGCTGCTAGTTTATGGGACAGGTGGGGATAACAAAATAAGACCAAAATGCGTCAGAAATTACACCATCCCAGAATAAAACACTACTTAATCAAATGTTTTACTGTGTTTACTGACCTTGGTTTTGTCATCATAAACCCACTGCTCTGTAACCACTTTCATTACTTACCCAAAGCACCACCTGATCATCATCAGTATGGACCTGAAAAGTTGCCATGTGAAGGGTGGGACTGCAGAATCAGGGCTCAAACTAATACATGTGTGCTGAATAAATACATCAATGACAAAATAAAAGTCAGCTCTTATGCGTTCAGTAAGGGTCAGGGTTATGGCAGCGTTTAACTTGATGTAGTCCTCTGTAGCTCAGCTGGTAGAGCACGGCGCTTGTAACGCCAAGGTAGTGGGTTCGATCCCCGGGACCACCCATACACAAAAATGTATGCACGCATGACTGTAAGTCGCTTTGGATAAAAGCGTCTGCTAAATGGCATATTATTATTATTATGTGTGTGTCAAAACCACCAGCTACATTTAATGACACCAAATGGGCTCTCCACACAGTTGCTTTATAGTAATGAATGAATGTAAATAAATAACAACCTGCAAAACAAAGTTCTGTACATCAAGTTTCATAAAAGCAAACAGTTACATTTTATTGAACACTGTGGAAGACATGTAAATATTACAGATAGTGTTTAAAAAATAAAATAAATACAAACAAAAAAATAAAATCCCATAGGGATATAAAAACGTTGTTTTTCCTTAAAATTATCCATTTAGCAAAAACAATTTTAGTACTAGAAGCCTCATAAATACAAACATGTTCTAAAGTCTATGTTCCCTACAGATTACCTGGTTCTTATATGAGTAACATACATTATCCAAACTTAAAATCAATAATAACATGTCATAAGTAGAAAATACTCCATCTTCAATTGTCTAATGGTCAAAACTGTTTACCATTGGATATCTGATACAATATTAACAGATCTGTTTGCAGCATGTTACTTTTCTAATCCTGAGTTAGTCGAAAATAAAAGCATCAGGCTGTGAGCGATCCATCAACTATAAAGCCACTTTTGTATTATAACCATGGGTCGCATATCTTGAAGTTGCTTTAGCAAAAGATCAGCACCATCGGAAAAGGTTTTGTCCATTACAATCTTCACATTGTTCACGGATTGAAGATTTTGAGGATTTCTGAAGTCTACAAGGTTTTGACAGGCTCCAATAACTTCATCAGGTGTTGCGCACATAATATTAGCGGTCTTCTGCTTAAGGGTACGCTGCCGTTTTAATGGCAACTCAGTCCTTGAACCTCCACTCATTTTTCTTTTGGGAGTGTGGGTCGATGGTGAAGTTTCCAGGAACTTCAGCAAAGTGTCCAGTGCAACACCACCCTTGGTTTCTTCCTCTTGAGAAGCGGTGGAGCCCTGGTCCGAAGCCTCTGTCAACTGGTAAACTTTATCTGCCGGACGATTTCTCAGAGTCAACCTTCTGTCCGGACAAGCTAATGCTCTCCGCTCTGATTTTCGGGGGCAACCCCTCTTTTTGACCTCTGAAGTAGGATACTGGGATTCAGAACTCTCATCAGTTGACAGTTTAGCCTCTGCTTGAATGTCACCATCCAACGCTTCTTGCCTCTGACAGTTAGTCTCTGAAGTCTCAGGTTCAACCTCGTCAGGGTCGGTCTCCTCAGAGGAGTCTGTTGACATACCCTCGGATTTGTTTGCATCTTTGACTCTTGAGCGTGGGTACTTTTTACAGAATATGAACTGGCTTCTCTGATCCTCTATATATTTCTCGGTGAGGCCATGTGTGGTGTAATGTCTGAATATATTCCGTTCAGCCCATTCAATTGTGTCGCAGCCTTTTATCATGCATGGGTATTGCAAAGATACTTTTTTGGTGCACATGGCAGATGCCTCATCCATAGATTTCAGAGAGGGTTTTCCAAAGCTAGTCCAATGGTCGAGCGATCCGTCCTCTTTCTTCTTAGTGTTTTTCTTGTTCAATTTGACTGCGTTTTCAATGTTCTCTTTGCCATTGTTGGGATTGACGCATGTTGTTCTCTGTTGCTGTGTTCTGGGAATATAAATTAAATCATGCTTTTTCATCTCATGACGAAGAAGGTTTGACTTTGTAGTGTAGACCCGGTCACAGCCATCATACCCACACTTAAAAGTCTGATCCACACTGCCTCTCTCAGAGATGTTTATTTCCTTGTGAAAGTTTTTTATGTGGTCAATGTATTTCTCCAAAGAGGTGAAGGAGAGTGTACATTCTGACCGGTCACACTGGAATGTCCCTACATTGATGCTTGACATCATAGCGGTGGTTTTATCGCGAGTGAATTTATGAAGCAAGAGGTAATGCTGCACCAAGGTTGTAATCCCTGGAAATATCCTTGAACAGTCTTTCACTTGACATCGGATTTCATTATTCTTGACTTCAGCAGCTTGTTCACCAGTGATATCAGCCTTTTCAGTATCAAGGTCTCCTGAAGACAGGGGAAGGGATGACTGATGCATAGCCCTAGAGTGTAGGATCAGATTTTGCTGGATGGTAAAGGCTGCAGCGCATCCTTCATGAACACAACGGTAGGGCCTATATGGGCTGAAAGAATTGTCAGCGTCACACAGTTGAAGCCCCAACCTTTTCTGAACCTTTTCTTTCCTTTGGAAATGAACCTCATCTTTGGAAATTGTGTTTTTTGAACAACTTGCTTTTTCTGGTGAGGGTTTCACAGCCTGGCTGGAAGTCGCCTCTGTTGCATGGCTAAACGATTTAGCGTCGGAACGTGCTTCTGGCTCTTCAACAGTGTCACCTTGACCGAATTTTTGCTTCAACACTGGGGTGTGGTTAATTTGTGGGGCTGTCTTTAATGTCTCAGTCTTGGTATATCTGGTCTTTGATGGTGATTCTAATTCGTAAAATGACTTGTCCAAGTCCTCCAAGGTATCTTGTGGTGATTGCACTCTCTCAACTGTTAATTGATGCATAGAATCCTCTTGAACTGCATCTCCTGCTGTAATGACCTCAGAGGACTGTGCATGTCCCTCTTGATTTGTGCTTTGAATTGGACAGCCAATGTCAATATCAAGTGGCTCTTGTTTGATGAAAGTTGACACAACTGAAGATTCAGTTCCATGACTACTCTCTACCTCTGTTCCGATATTGATGTTGCTTGACCTTTTTTTGCGATTTCCGACCTTTAACTTGTTCATCTCTGCCTGTGTCAGGTGGTGGACTTTTTCATAGTGAATTCTTAGGCCTGTGGTTCTGGTAAATGTTTTCGGGCAAATGTAACAAGGATATGGAGAGAATTTGACTGGGGTTTTCTTGAGTTCCTCAATCATCTCAATGGTGTAATCATGAACTCTACCAAGGTGTCTGAATAATGCCTCTTTTGTCATGAACCCATATTCACAATAATCCATTTCACACTTGAACGGCTTGGGGCCATTATCACGATTCTGGTCTTCCTTCTTGACAATCGTTTTTGTTGTCGTGCTTTGATCACTATCTTTTTGCATGACATTATAGCTTGAGATTGTATTGCTTTGGCTGCCACTGTACTTTGAGGGACAATTTTCCTGCAAACTTTTCTCATGTGCAGCTTCAACTAAATCCAACATTTGTAGGGCATTTTGAATTTCTATAACCTTGTCGTCTTGACATGCGGCAAAGGAAGTTGCATTTGACCTTTTTTCAGCAAGACTGCCATTTGACTCCTCATCCTTCTGCTGACTACCAGCATAATTCTTTGACTCTTTCAATTCTATCCACACTTCTGCTTTATTTGGGTTGAGTTTGGATTGTCTACCGGCCGAAATTGAAGGAAAGGTGCTTGATGATTGAGAATCCAGTGGTTTTTGGGTTTCCTTTGGTGCCAAATTGGAGGGATTTCGTGTGGAGAGATTACCAACAACCTCCTGTGGGAATTCACCATTTAGTACGTTGTATATTGATCCGGTTTCAGGAACATTTGGGTCATTGAGAAAGTCGAGAAATGACGTAGGCAAATCAGCCTTTAAGTCCATTTCAACTAATGGTTTGCACTGGGAGCGTTTTGAAAGATGACCTCCGAGAGACTTTGTGCTTGAGAATTCTCTAAAGCATCTTCGGCAGATGACTTTGCCATCCTTTATGATAGCAGGCCATTTCGTTCTCTTGCTGAGTCTGCAGCGTTTGACTTTCTGTATCTCATGATCAGCAATCTTCTCGCCTGCAGGGATAGCTTCAGATTCTGCATGAGTGTCCTCATTGTACGATACATCTTTTTGGATAGAAGCATGCGGACTAAGAATCATTTCATCTACAGATCTGCTCATCTGATTCTCATAATTGGGTGATGGAAGATGGGTTACGTCCTCCATGTTGGTCATCTCCACTGTGTTTCTTGGTGCTACTTGACCATCATGGCTCACTGCATTGCTTGGAATGTCTATTGATGCCCTTGAATTAAGGACATATTCATTTGGGACATATGAAGCATGAGAACCTCCAGCTGACAAATTGTTACCTTCTTGGGTAGACATACTGGAATAGTGTTTTCCCATTAGGGAAACATCAACATTATCTACATTAACCCCAGAGTTAATTATTCCATAGTGTTGTTCTCCATTATCCAGCATAAGAGAGCTTGACACATATTCCGACATCTGATTCATCAGACTTGACTCTGATTTAATGGGTTGGATGGTACTATCAAGCATATTTGCTGGTGTATGTTCTCTGCCCCTTTCTAATGGTTGATACGGTTCTGATTGCCAAGGAGTTATGCTCTTATTGGGGTATTCATTCAGATGGAAGACCTCTGCATAGCAATTGTTCAATGTAGATGTCCATTCGTCACCCATCTCGGACTGCATTAGCCCTGTCTGGTTTGGGGGGGTTTCTCTGCTCCTTTCTAATGGTTGATACGGTTCTGATTGCCAAGGAGTTACGCTCTTATTGGGGTATTCATTCAGATGGAAGACCTCTGCATAGCAATTGTTCAATGTAGATGTCCATTCGTCACCCATCTCGGACTGCATTAGACCTGTCTGGTTTGGGGGGGTTTCCCAAACGGGGCAAATTGCAGGTACATTTGAACATGCCACCGGATATTCAAACTGCTGTAATCCAGTATTTCTGCATAGTGGTGCTTGATGAAGTAATGTTTTGTCCTCTGGATCCTGTGAAGTCTTGTTCACAGATGGAACTTTTCTCGAAGTTATTTTGACAACTTTCTTGTACTTCTTAGCCAGTTTCCAGTCTTCAAAAATGTCTGGATGGTTTTTCTTTACATGTCGGGAGAGACTTTTGGAGGTACTGTATTTGCGGTCACATGCTTCAAGTGGACAACTATACTCATCCTCATCTCTACCAGTTATTGCAGGAGTGTTTTGATAGGGATGTAGAATAAATGGGGGTTCACTCTTAATTTCTGGTGGAGGAAAGGCCTGTGGTAACACTTTCTGAACAGCTTCAGTTGGTATGTTATTCAGCTCCTCTTTTGGGCACTCTTTCAAGAGATTGGTTTCACATTGGGGATCCACATGATTTGCTATCATTTCTTGGCGTGGGACGGCAGGAGATAGTTTTGCATTCTCCAATCCCAGCTTAGTTTTGATCAGTGGAACGTAACACTTCCGAAACTCCTTTCTGGGATTGACAACAGAACTGCTCAACATGCTCTCGACTGAATGTTTTATTTTCATTGGGCCGTTTGGGTTCTCAGGAGCTGTTGACGAACCTGATTGAACTACTTCTTCCGTCACATAATCCTGTGCAGTCTTCTGATCTAGATTGACAGAGGCAGAGCAGGTTTCCTCTTGCCTAGTGGAACACTGGGTGGAAGGTTCCATTTCAGGTACAGGATGGTTCTCACTTGCGACGGGCATTTCATTAGTGTCATGGTTCTGCTGATGCAAATTTAGCTGGGACTGTGAATAGAAAATATTCCCACAATTAGCTATTTTGCAAGTGAATGTAAGGTAATGTTGTGCCTCATGATCATACAACAGGTAGGCCTCGTTGAAAATCCTTCCACAATTAGGGAACATACACTGTGACTTAAAGTCAGTGTGTTGTTTTTTGTGCATGAGAAGTTCCGAATTGCAGTGGAAGCTGGCTGTGCAATTCAGCTGTATGCAATAGTATGGCTTAGCGCCACAGTGCATTTTCAAATGATCATTGAGATGTCTGGCATTCACAAACTGCCGACGGCAATACTGACACACAACCTTCTGTCGTTGTATCTCCAGAAAACGTGTTGCTTCCTCGTCATTTTTGTGGGCTTTTACATGTGTTACAAGACTCCGAAAAAACTTGAATACCTTCTGACAGTATGTAACAGGGCAGACACAATCCTCAGTAAATTCTGCTTCATATCTAGTTTGTACAGGCTTTGGAGGACTGACCTTAGTTTGTACAGGCTTTGGAGGACTGACCTTAGTTTGTACAGGCTTTTGAGGACTGACTTTGACCGTTTCAGCACTTTTGCGATTTCCATCCAGAGAATAAGCATCATTTGGGCTGACAATGGTCTCTGCTTCAAGCTTCACCACAGCGCCATCTTTAAAATTATTACAATGACTACTGGTGGATTGCGTTGGCTTGGGCAATTTCCTAGTTGCTTTCATAGCAGCAAGTCGCTCTTTGCAAGACTGCTTCACGTGTGACGCTACATGTGGCTCAAGGATCTCCTTAGTGTCAAAGCTGTCAGCACAAATCGGACAGGTGTAGACCCCATCTTTAAAATGCTTCTGTGCATGGCGGACAATCCTGTGGCCAAGGAACTCTTTGTCACATAGAACACAATACTGCATATATGCTCGCCAATTCCTAAATCTTGCCGATACAAACCCTTTCTCCCTCAATTTCTTAGCTTCCCTATTTTTCTCTTTTCCATCTGCAATTTCATTCAATTCATTCGTAGTGTTCAAAATAAAGTCCTCAAGGTCTTTGAACTCTGGACCTTTTTCTGCTGCATCGTCCTCAAGTCCCTCATCCGTGTCATTGAGAGTGTCGATGGATGACACGATGGATCCCTCCTCACCCATCAACGCCAAACAATTGCGCTTCAAGGTTCTCCAGTCCCAGAACTCTGGATCAAAAGGCCACTGTGTCTTCAAGGCCAACAGTAACTCGCAGCGTAGCGAGTTGGGTACTGGAAGATTCTCGCCCTCAAGCTTTTCATCAGGTTCATTATAGAGTGATTCAACAGCATAATATGAGTCCACAGTAGGCTGAAAGAGGAACTCTGTTAGTTGGCATGCCCGTTTCACCTCAAAATCAGTAGGCAAAAGGCATGAAATCGTTTTGCAGATGGTGGTCCTGCTGTCCATGTTGTCACTGGATGCCATTTGTAGAGCTTGAATGCACATTTCAATGCACACCGGCAGTCCCACTTCTCCGACCTGAGAAAAAATAAAGCCAAAGTCAGTCATGAGAATATAAATCGCTACATGCTATATCCAAGCAGTAACCTATACAATTTTACACATTAAAGAATTTCACCTCCGATTGGATAACCTTGATGAGGAAGAGAATATGACAGACGCTCCTGGAAAGCAGAACCAACTTTCTGCATTGACCAAGAAATGCATCAGCTGAAGACTCTGACCGCATTAAAAGCTTGCTCCAGAATAGTGTGAGCTCCCTGTAAAAAGAAAAGTATATCATCATTGGTCTGCCCAAGAGATAACAGTTTGTCGTCAACATACGACATCCATTGGGAGATTGGCTCACTTCTATTTTTCCCCTTCCATACTAAATGTATTACTACTTTTCTAACTCTGTAATATGATCATTACTTTTTTCTAAATGTTTTTCTTTTTTATTCAGGTAAATACCAACTGAATATGAAATTATATGAATTTGTATATTGTACCTGTAACCCCCACCCCACGGGAAAGAAAATACTAAATAAATACACATTTGGTCACATCCACATTAAATGGAAAGAGGGTAGTACTCACCAGGCACAATACACATCTCCCTGGAGAAGCTGCCGCTCAAGGAATGCAGAGCACAAACAAAGGGCTCCTTTTTCATCCCCATCTGACTCCAGGTTACAAATCATCTCCAATCCATCCTTACAGTCTACCTGCGCGATCTGGCCCGGAGAAAACATGTCATAATTATGGTATTCCATTGCCACCCACAGTTGATCATTTTCCATCAGGGTCATTGTTTTATTCATCGTTATCAAACTGGACTTTGTCATTTCATTTCTTCATCAAATCTCCATCAGTGTGGCTCAGTTGGTAGAGCATGGCGCTTGCAATGCCAGGGTTGTGGGTTCGATTCCCACGGGGGACCAGTACGAAAATGTATGCACTCACTAACTGTATGTCGCTCTGGATAAGAGCGTCTGCTAAATGACTAAAATGTAAAAAATGTAAATGACAAGCCTTTGTTCAGCCCCCTTTTTTGAAGGCACTTGTCTGTTAAATGACTTGATGTAAATGCTATCCACTCACCTCTTGCATGAGTTGTTCTTGTGTTTTTGTCATACACAGGCAAACAAGGTATGTCTGCTTGAAGTTCCCTTTTCCTTCGTACTCTGGATACTCTGAGCACATCTTCGCTAAGACAGCTGCTTGCTCTGCTCTATTCTGTTTGATAAGGTGCTTTATTCGCATATTAAGGAGTGTGGGACCTTCCATTTGCAGGAACTCATGAACTGGGGAGTAGAGAAAGAACACTATTACAGATAGCACTACTAAGCGGTCACCACAACATTTAAACCAGTCATCTCACATGTACAAAGTTCTTGCAAAAAAAACAACACAGGTAGGCTAAAACTAACCTCTGTCAATTTCAGGTATCTCATTAGACAGAATGCTGCACAGAGTGGTGTTGGTCCACACGCCAGGCTCCTGTGCCATAGCTGATAGCATGTGAAGCTGTGTGTTCCCATGTTCTTGCAGAAGGCTGTGCGCCGACTGTAAAGGAGAGCATATAACTTTAAACTTTTCAGCTATACAAAAACAATAATAATTTAAACACAGGCCTAGATTATCTAATTATGTCAAACAGGGTTTGTTATATGTGCATGTTTCAGATAAAGGGCTTCATTTTTTCCTTTCATTGGGTCACCTAGTCATTATTTTTCTAAAGATAATTGTCAAACGTTTTTTTTATAGGTTCATTACATACATTGCTGTTCTATGCAAAGTTGAGCAAAAGAAAAATAGAGCAGCATTGGAGACTAACCTTGACAGAGGATTGGAACTCCTCCCATAAGGCACCAGGGACACTCTCAGGCAATGAGAGCAGGAGCTCCATACAGCTCCTGCAAGTAAAACAGGGTCATTCAATGAGTTTGTTTTGGTTCATGCTAATGATGCTACAGTTGTGTGCAGATTACTAAAATTAAAGAAGCACTACCCCCTTCTGCCACAGCTCTAATTTATTTATCTTGTCAAATTAGTGGGGCATGGTACCGTTATATTGGTCACTAGCGCTAGTCAAACTGGAACGCTCACTGTCATGTAACAACATAGACCATCTGAAATACTACACAGCTGGTTCCATGAAGCATTCATGCATAGAAATCAGATATTGACGTTATCTTTGAGTACTCACAGTGCTAGGTTTTCAAGTACGAGTGGCACATTTTCACATTCGGAGGAGAGACAGGAGGTTGCCTTTGCATAACTGAGTATGGCCACCGTGTACACCTCCAGTAAAGGCAGTGGCTCCTCCTCAGTCTTCCATCGGCCTGCATGTTCCACAAGGATCTGCAAACAAAATCATGGCATGCTCTCTGAGTCTCGCATGAAGTGTGGCAAGCTGATTAGTGCCTGCTATTAAATGAGTTTGTCTTTTTTCAACTAGCCAACGCCTTAACAATTACCATACAAATAGCGTAATTGCACAATTGCATTAATTATTAGTCCTCCTAGGTAAATTACGCTACATTCCATTAAAATAGCAAATTGATAACAGCTAATAATAGAAATCCTAGTGCAGTCTCCTGTCAGAATATTTATATAAATCACCAATGTCATGAAGACTTTGTTGGACTGCTAACAACCTCTTTACATCTGTGAGGGTCTAATTTTCTAAAAATGTAAGATGAACCAACATAGCTAGACGACACCAGTGTAAAGTACTACTTAAGTAGTTTTTTGGGATATCTGTACTATACTTTACTATTTATATTTAAAAGACTACTTTTACTTCACTACATTCCTTCAGAATATTTTACTTTTTACTCCATACGTTTCCCTTGACACCCAAAAGTACTCGTTACATTTTGAATGCTTAGCAGGACAGGAAAATGGTCCAATTCACGCACTTATCAACAGAACATCCCTAGTCATCCATACTGCCTCTGATCTGGCGGACTCACTAAACACACATGCTTTGTTTGTAAATTATGTCTGAATGTTGGAGTGTGCCCCTGGCTATCCATAAATTTAAAAAACAAGAAGATTGTGCGGTTTGGTTTGCTTAATATAAGGAATTTTAAATGATTTATCATTTTACTTTTGATACTTAAGTATATTTAAAACCAAATACTACTAGACTTTTACTCAAGTAGAATTTTACTCGGTGACTTTTACGTGAGTCATTTTCTATTAAGGTATCTTTACTTTTACTCAATAACTTTTTCCACCACTGCTAGACGAGCAGTATACGGGACGCTGCTTTGACTTCTAAGCCGGGCTGCTGAATCAAGGCTATAGTGAGGGACAATTGGAATCCGTGCAGTAGCCTACAATAGGCCGAACCACACTCAGTAGTGAGTGGAGGATGCAGGCCTAATATTCACAATTGAGAGTGAGACATGCTTGAATACTACAAGTAGTGACAATATTTTCCTTGTCCGTCGTCCCTTCTCCCAGTCAAGGAGAAGCCTAATCTCTGCTCAAATGAGTGTGGCTCTTCTATAGCTACACTCTGAAAGGGCGGTGATATGTGAATTCTTCCATAGTCACTATACAGTAGATAGTGTAAAGCAAAGCGCAGATAATTTTCTACCAACCTTTGCGTGGCGATACTTCATAAATTCCTGACTTGGAAGACAACACGTCTTCTAAACGTCCATGTCTAGTTGCAGTGGGTTCGTTTGAATTTAGAAAAGGCTCCGTTATTAAATTAAATTGATTTTTAGCTCCATGAAGTCATCCAACAATGTGTACGCCGCCATATTGTCTATTTTAAATCTTCTCATTGATCGAGACAGGCGAGTGTCATCATGACATGCGGTACTTCGGGGTGGAAACCCACCTGTCTCAATCAATGTGAGAAGATTTGAAATAGACACCTTTTTTTTTTTTACTGCGTTGTTGGTAAAGGGCTTGTAAGTAAGCATTTCACTGTAATGTCTACACCTGTTGTATTCGGCGCTTGTGGGAAACAAAATTTGATTTGATGGCGGAGCACACATTGCTGTTGGATTACTTCATGGAGCAAAAAATTAATTTAATTTAATAATTTTCTACATTTAAATGAAACCCCTGCAACTAAATATATAGCTTTAGAAGATATATTTTCTTCCAAGTCGGGAATTGAGAAAGTATCGCCAAGGTTGGTCCAAAAATTCTCTGTACTATGCTTTACATCAGGGTTTCACCAACTCGGTCCTGGAGCCCCCCCTGGGTGCACGTTTTAGTTTTCACCCTAGCACTACACAGCTGATTCAAATAATCAAAACTTGAAAATGAGTTGGTTATTTGAATCAGCTGTGTAGTGCTAGGGTAAAAACCAAAAAACGTGCACCCTGGGGAGGCCCCTGGACCGAGTTTGGGAAACCCTGCTTTACACTACCTATAAGAGCTGTATGGAAGCATTCACATATCACCGCCCTTTCAAAGTGTAACTAGGTCTTCAAAGTGTGGCTAGGCTTCAACTCAGGCTATTGCTAAATGTAGCTTATCTTGGTATTTCAATGCATTGCCTCTCCAGCACAAAATGTACAAAAAATTATAATAATTGAAACCACAACACTTGATAACACACAATCTTGAAGTGACCAGGTTTTTAGACAGTTGCAGAGAAAACCCTATTTTTTTTATAAGAAAATATATGGTACAAGGCTATCTCATGTGTATATTCTTACTACTCTGTGTCAGATGATTAACCACCATTGCAGTTTTATCTCCAAATTTGACCTGATAGTATGAGATTGGGCTTCATACATCATCACTAACATAGTCATCCCCAGCTTCCAATTGGCTCATTCATCCCCACTTCTCTCCCCTGTAACTATTCCTCAGGTCGTTGCTATAAATAAGAATGTGTTCTGAGTCAACTTACCGGGTAAAATAAGGGTAAAATCAATCAATCAATGAATTCATCACTTCGCACAGAAGGGGTTTCAAACAAGGCCCAGCAGGTTTGTCATACTATACACAAAACAGAATAAACCTACCCACAGACAGGCTGATGAGTTAATATTGCTTTTCTAACAATTAAAACCCATGCATACGTAGTTAACCTATGATTTGCATGAAAATAAATACTACCTAGCTATTTGGTAGGCCAGGCCTATACAGAATACTTTTACAGGCACACTCAATATTGATCCACTAACACAATGGACGAATGGAAAAACGATAATTTGCCTTAATTTCTAGTTAAATGTGCACATTTACATGGATGAAAGACGTTTCGTGTAATGCAAAACCTAAAACACTGGTGCATTTGAATGCAAGTTCGCACAAAAACCTAGCTATCTCTTCTCAGCATGAAGGAGCCTGATCAACTCGCTAACTAGCCAACATTCATCTAGCAGCTAGCTAACATCAACTAGCAGGGGAAAATGAGTGATGATAGGATATAATTCCAAAGTAAGAGATTAAACTACATATCGGAAAACACTTATGTATATAGTTTACTAACTACAATAATCAAACGGTAAAACAGGGAGTAATGGTGTGTGTTTTTATATATGTTCTGATGTGGCTAGCGCGAGTTAGCTAGCTAGCTACATTGTTGTAGCTAACGTACACGCGCATCATCAGCCAGGAAGCTGGATGGAAGGCTGCAAAGCAGCTAGGATGGGTTGTTGGAAAAACATGCTGACCTGGCAGAATTCCTGGCAGAAACGCAAAGAGGCGTCCGACGGTGATTCCAGGTTTTCTTTTAGTGTTGTAGTCAATTCCTGGAACCGTTCTCGGAGCCGCTCGATAGCTTTTCTTGTGGCATATTCCTTCTCTGTCTCTCCCTCCGCCATCTTCACAACACAATCACGACCGCGTACGCACAGATGTTACGCTGCCAGAATCGCACACGCACACGCAAAGGGGGGGAAGGGAGAGACGAGGGACTGCCTAAAAACACGCCACTTCGAAGTGACTTTTCGTAGCAGCTTAGGAGAGCATTTTCGCTAACCATAAGGGATGGATCGACATTTACAGAATGGTTACCGTTAGGAAAATGGTGGAGGGTCATTCTTTTTCCATTTCAGTCGAGGGGAGGGTTTAGTATAAAAAAAAAAAAATCTGGTCCAGGGGAGGGTCATGTAATTTGCAATTGATGAAATGTCGATATTTCTCAGTGTTTTACAATGAGTTGCTTATTAGGCTATATATGGATGTGTGCCTGATGCTGCCACTCATCGCTGATTCTCCACTGGGCGAGCAATATGAATTGGGCCTATAGGCTATTTGTGTGGTCTCAATCAAATCATTCATAGGCTATAGGCTACGTAGTGCATGCTTGGAGAAGCACAGTGCAAAGTGATATTTCTAAGATAGTGGCTGGGATGGTGTAAATACAACTAGGCTGCATTACACACTGCAATGGATGTTCCAACCCTGAGCCCCAGCATGCTCTTGCTGATCAAAAACGTTTTTGTATTCTGCCTAACCAATGGCTGTGCTGTGTAGTCTACGGTGGCAGTTCAGGGGGAGAGTCAAAGTTAATTATTATCAGGGGGAGAGTCCGAAAATTATTTTTGCCTATGTTCTGTTCAGTTTGAGAAGGAGTGCGTGAAGCTGAGAAGGAAGACGGGAGGTCAACTTTGATAGCTTGCTACTACTATAATTGATTTAATTAACAACAATATGTTTATTGCCTATGATGTATTTATCAGAGTTATTGACCTCACAATAAGCCAGATTCAAGTAACTGACATTGTGGTGCTCAATCTTGAAGCAGGAGCCGCAGCAAAATGAATCAGAAATGGGCAGTTCATGGTGCTGAAAATAGGCAAATTCCAGTAGGCATAATTCATTTAAACCGTCTCCATTTTAATTAGTCTTTACTAACAACAAGAGGGCTTTGTGTTGGAGCATATTTCTTCCTATTTAAGAAATAAGAGGTAGGCCTACCTGTTTGACAGACGAAATTAGGCTATAGGCTGCTATATCCATAGATTTGTCGGTCAATTCCTCCACCCACCATGCACTCTTTAAATAGCCTACCTCTGTGTCAGTGAAGGGCTGTTAAGTTAAAACCAAGACTCAAATTGAGGGGGTATGAGAGGGTATGCCATAGGCCTACCTTTTATTAAAGAAAATGGCAAAAAGCACAGGCCTACCCCTTGTTAGCTTAAGATTTAGAAGAAAATAAAATGGATCTGATTATATAAAGGGATCTATAACAGCGATTTGATCCGCTATGCTTTATGCTAGAAACAAGCTGTAAAATACCAGGGAAAGACTAGACTCTGATGCATATGGGAATATCATTGTTTAGTTTATTTGACATTAAGAAGCTGAGCTACAACCTTCTATATCTGAGAAGACAAAAAATGACTTTGCTTGGGAAATACTCTAATTCTGTCGCTATCAATTGATTAAGCTATTAACTTTCTGTACAATAGAAGGTGTTTAAACCCAGACAGCTTTTAGGGAAACACTTGTGACCTTCTCTTGTTGGGTTAAGCCACGGAAGAAGAATAGACAGCAGTTAAAGCTCACATTTTTCTGCATCGGTAGGCCTACTCTGTCTGGGGTGAAAAGGTAGGCTTAACTTTTGAAAGTACAATGCTCAGATTGCTAATGACGTCTCAGATTTAATTATTTGCAAACAGGGACAATTTTGTTGCAAACAAGACAGACACACTGATTTGGCATTGGAAAAATATGATAAGATGAACACATAGGCCTATCGCTCTGTCCATTCTTACCCTGTAATTTCGGTAATTTGTGTGGTATTAAAACACATTCTTCTAATATGTAAAATGACGTAGAATTGCATGAAATGTATACAAAAGGCATTTTTTTCACGGACCTGCAAATACGTTGATAGATTCATGCAATGCTTTTACTATAAAGGAGATCTTTCTACCCCTACTCTTGTCCACGGTGGTCTGCGAACCCACAACCTGCAGCCCTGTGTGCTATCAAAATTCCTGCATTGCCATGTAATGCTTATAGGATTAAGAACAGTTTCTAAAACTGCATATCTAAGGCTCTGGTATGTCCAAGAAGTTAGGGAAAACGGTTTACATATTCTCTGCTATCCACTTTGTTTTAATTATAATTTTGGGTATAGGGAAGGGTCACTAGTTGTTTTTTTATATTTTGCTGAAGGAAGAGCCATCCATTTCCGATTTCCTCCATGTAACCCTTATTATAAATAATGTTCACTCCCTAACCTTTTTCCTAACTTTAATCTAATTCTCAGACCCTGCTGAGTACGTTCTAACCTGCCACAAAAAGTCGTGGCTGTATTGAAGTGGCGTGTTTTTAGGGAGTCCCGGAGAGACGACCATAGGAAAGCGCTACATTGGTGTCACCCTTAACTACAACCAGTTAGCAAGTCATACATTTCCGAGTTTCCTAGTTCTGACTAGCACGTGAACACCAGTATTCACCCCCCTTGGCATTTTTCCTATTTTGTTGCCTTACAACCAGGAATTAAAATAATTTTTTTGGGGGTTTGTATCATTTGATTTACACAACATGTCTACCACTTTGAAGATGCAAAATATGTTTTATTGTGAAACAAACAAGAAATAAGACAAAAAAAAACTGAACTTGAGCGTGCATAACTATTCACCCCCTCAAAGTCAATACTGTGTAGAGCAATTACAGCTGCAAGTCTCTTGGGGCATGTCTCTATAAGCTTGGCACATCTAGCCACTGGGATTTTTGCCCATTCTTCAAGGCAAAACTGCTCCAGCTCCTTCAAGTTGGATGGGTTCCGCTGGTGTGCAGAAATCTTTAAGTCATATCACAGATTCTCAATTGGATTGAGGTCTGGGCTTTGACTAGGCCATTCCAAGGTATAGTCTCAAATCTCTGGAAGACTGAAACAGGTTTCCCTCAAGAATTTCCCTGTATTTAGCGCCATCCATCATTCCTTCAATTCTGACCAGTTTCCCAGTCTCTGCCGATGAAAAACATCCCCACAGCGTGATGCTGCCACCACCATGCTTCACTGTGGGGATGGTGTTCTCGGGGTGATGAGAGGTGTTGGGTTTGTGCCAGACATAGCATTTTCTTTGATGGCCAAAAAGCTTAATTTTAGTCTCATCTGACCAGAGTACCTTCTTCCATATGTTTGGGGAGTCTCCCACATGCCTTTTGGCGAACACCAAACGTGTTTGCTTATTCTTTTCTTTAAGCAATGGCTTTTTTTCTGGCCACTCTTCCATAAAGCCCAGCTTTGTGGAGTGTACGGCTTAAAGTGGTCCTGATCTGTACTTCTCCACAACTTTGTCCCTGACTTGTTTGGAGAGCTCCTTGTTCTTCATGGTGCCGCTTGCTTGGTGGTGCCCCTTGCTTAGTGGTGTTGCAGACTCTGGGGCCTTTCAGAACAGGTGTATATATACTGAGATCATATGACAGATCATGTGACACTTAGATTGCACACAGGTGGACTTTATTTAACTAATTACAGTGAGGGAAAAAAGTATTTGATCCCCTGCTGATTTTGTAAGTTTGCCCACTGACAAAGAAATGATCAGTCTATAATTTTAATGGTAGGTTTATTTGAACAGTGAGAGACAGAATAACAACAGAAAAATCCAGAAAAACTCATGTCAAAAATGTTATAAATTGATTTGCATGTTTAATGAGGGAAATAAGTATTTGACCCCTCTGCAAAACATGCCTTAGTACTTGGTGGCAAAACCCTTGTTGGCAATCACAGAGGTCAGACGTTTCTTGTAGTTGGTCACGAGGTTTGCACACATCTCAGGAGGGATTTTGTCCCACTCCTCTTTGCAGATCTTCTCTAAGTCATTAAGGTTTCGTGGCTGACGTTTAGCAACTCAAACCTTCAGCTCCCTCCACAGATTTTCTATGGGATTAAGGTCTGGAGATTGGCTAGACCACTCCAGGACCTTAATGTGCTTCTTCTTGAGCCACTCCTTTGTTGCCTTGGCCGTGTGTTTTGGGTCATTGTCATGCTGGAATACCCATCCACGACCCATTTTCAATGCCCTGGCTGAGGGAAGGAGGTTCTCACCCAAGATTTGAAGGTACATGGCCCCGTCCATCGTCCCTTTGATGCGGTGAAGTTGTCCTGTCCCCTTAGCAGAAAAACACCCCCAAAGCATAATGTTTCCACCTCCATGTTTGACGGTGGGGATGGTGTTCTTGGGGTCATAGGCAGCATTCCTCCTCCTTCAAACACGGCGAGTTGAGTTGATGCCAAAGAGCTCCATTTTGGTCTCATCTGACCACAACACTTTCACCCAGTTCTCCTCTGAATCATTCAGATGTTCATTGGCAAACTTCAGATGGGCATGTATATGTGCTTTCTTGAGCAGGGGGACCTTGCGGGCACTGCAGGATTTCAGTCCTTCACGGCGTAGTGTGGTGACTATGGTCCCAGCTGCCTTGAGATCATTGACAAGATCCTCCCGTGTAGTTCTGGGCTGATTCCTCACCGTTCGGGCGGCAGGTAGCTTAGTGGTTAAGAGCGTTGTGCCAGTAACCGAAAGGTCGCTGGTTCTAATCCCCGAGCCGACTAGGTGAAAAATCTGTCGATGTGCCCTTGAGCAAGGCACTTAACCCTAATTGCTCCTGTAAGTCGCTCTGGATAAGAGCGTCTGCTAAATGACTCAAATGTAAATGTAAATGTTCTCATGAGCATTGCAACTCCACGAGGTGAGATCTTGCATGGAGCCCCAGGCCGAGGGAGATTGACAGTTCTTTTGTGTTTCTTCCATTTGCGAATAATCGCACCAACTGTTGTCACCTTCTCACCAAGCTGCTTGGCGATGGTCTTGTAGCCCATTCCAGCCTTGTGTAGGTCTACAATCTTGTCCCTGACATCCTTGGAGAGCTCTTTGGTCTTGGCCATGGTGGAGAGTTTGGAATCTGATTTATTGATTGCTTCTGTGGACAGGTGTCTTTTATACAGGTAACAAGCTGAGATTAGGAGCACTCCCTTTAAGAGTGTGCTCCTAATCTCAGCTCGTTACCTGTATAAAATACACCTGGGAGCCAGAAATCTTTCTGATTGAGAGGGGGTCAAATACTTATTTCCCTCATTAAAATGCAAATCAATTTATAACATGTTTGACATGCGTTTTTCTGGATTTTTTGGTTGTTATTCTGTCTCTCACTGTTCAAATAAACCTACCATTAAAATTATAGACTGATCATTTCTTTGTCAGTGGGCAAACGTACAAAATCAGCAGGGGATCAAATACTTTTTTCCCTCACTGTATGTGACTTCTGAAGGTAATTGGTTGCACCAGATCTTATTTAGGGGCTTCATAGCAAAGGTGGTGAATACATATGCACGCACCACTTTTCCGTTATTTATTTGTTAAAATTTTTTGAAATCCAAATAAAAATCCATTTAAATTACAGGTTGTAATGCAACAAAATAGGAAAAACGCCAAGGGGGATGAATACTTTTGCAAGGCACTGTAGCCTACACTTTGCGTTGCCCATAAAAGGAACATCAGTCTAGGCCTATATAATGTGGTTGTATTCTAATAATGTTCCCCTCATGCATTCTAATACTACACAGAGTTTTGAAGTATTTTATTAAATACAATGCTTAACCTACAGCTTGTTAGGCTACATGAGGACATACATGTCATACATACATGTAGACACATACTGTAGATATATGGCTGCGTTTACACAGGCAGCCGAATTCTGTAATTTTCTCCCACTAATTTATCTTTTGACCAATCACATCAGATCTTTTCACATCAGATCTTTTCCAGGGCAGATCTGATTGGTCAAAAGACAAATTAGTGGAAAGCATATCAGAATTGGGCTGCCTGTGTAAACACAGCCTTCTAGGCCTACCTGAGACAGCTGTGTGATGATAAAACCCTGACTTTTGATCCATAGGCTATTGAGTGTGGGAGATAAACAATTTTTTCTTTTTTTGTAAAAGCATAAACATTGGTTTTACTCAAGGCGTCAGTTGCTCAAGAAAAGAAGCAGAGGAGAGAACATGTGGTAAAATACTGAAGAACATTTTAATGAGTATTCAATTCATATAGTAAAGTCTACATTTGATCAACCCAGTAGGCTACAGGAATATGACTTTATAATTGCGACAGTAATATATTAAGAGCGCTATAAATATTCTCAGCAGACTATCACCTTTTGTGGATCACATTGGCTGCGTTTACACAGGCAGCCCAATTCAGATTTTTTTCTCTCACAAATTGGTGTCACGACTTCCGCCGAAGTTGGTGCCTCTCCTTGTGCGGGCGGCTATCGGCGGTCGTCGTCACCGGTCTTCTAGCTGCCACCGATCTACGTTTCTTTTTCTATGTTGTTTTGTCTTGATTGTACACACCTGGTTCCCATCACGTATGATTAGTCCCCTATTTAACCCTCTGCTTCACGCATGGTTTTGTGCGTGATTGTTCTTTGTTTGGTGTTGTTAGTGATGTGAGCTGTTATGTTTCAATGCGTGGAAATTAGATTTGATTGTTTTCCCGAGTAAAGTTGGTTGTGTACTCAGTTCTGTGTCCTGCGCCTGACTCCATCCTACCGCTGCACACTGACACCTTGACAATTGGTCTTTTGACTAATCAGATCAGCTCTGGAAAAAGATCTGATGTGGAAAGAGCTGATGTGTTTAGTCAAAAGACCAATTAGTGGAAAAAATATCAGAATTGGGCTGCCTGTTTAAACGCAGCCAATGATCTCTTAATATGTGATTTCTCTTAAAACACTTCAGGAATAAGTTGTGCAAAATACATAGTATCTGTTGCCAAGCACAGACTGTTTATGACTTATGGTGATAACAGTGTCACGATCGTCTATAACAGGAGACCAAGGCGCAGCGTTGCGAGTGAACATGATGACTTTTAATTAGAAAAGCACGTCAATACAAAACAAAAGACGAAAGTGAAGTCCAACAGTAACAAAGACTAAACTTGGAACAAAAACCCACAAAACCCAGGTGAAACCACACAGTTTAAATATGGCTCCCAATCAGAGATAACGAGCCGACAGCTGACACTCGTTACCTCCGATTGGGAGTCATATGACTAATCAACAACAAAACCAAACATAGAAATGAACAACTAGATCCAACATAGAAATACACCCTAAATGAAAATAACAACCCTGGCTCAACAATCAGAGTCCCTGGAGCCAGAGTGTCACAGTACCCCCCCCTAAAGGTGCGAACTCCGGGCGCACCAGCATACAGTCTAGGGGAGGATCTGGGTGGGCGTCTGTCCATGGTGGCGGCTCTGGCCCAGGTCGTGGTCCCCACCCCACCTTAGTCACTATCCGCTTCCGTAGCCCCCTCCACATGACCACCCCCCAACTAAACCCCACTGGATTAAGGGGCGGCACCGGACTAAGGGGCAGCACCGGACTAAGGGGCAGCACTGGACTAAGGGGCAGCACCGGACTAAGGGGCAGCACCGGACTAAATGGCGGATCCTGGCTGGCTGGCTCTGGCGGATCCTGGCTGGACGGCTCTGGCGGATCCTGGCTGGCGGAAGGCTCTGGCTGATCCTGGCTGGCAGAAGGCTCTGGCTGATCCTGTCTGGCAGAAGACTCTGGCTGATCCTGTCTGGCAGAAGGCTCTGGCTGATCCTGTCTGGCGGAAGGCTCTGGCTGATCCTGTCTGGCGGAAGGCTCTGGCTGATCCTGTCTGGCGGAAGGCTCTGGCTGATCCTGTCTGGCGGAAGGCTCTGGATGCTCCTGTCTGGCGGAAGGCTCTGAAGGCTCATGGCAGACGGGCAGTTCCTGCGGCGCTTGGCAGACGGACAGTTCAGACGGCGTTGGGCAGACGGGCAGTTCAGGCCGTCTGAGGCGCATCATAGGCCTGGTGCGTGGTGCCGGAACTGGAGGTACCGGGCTGAGGACACGCATCTCAGGGCTAGTGCGGGAAGCAGCAACAGGGCATGCTTGGCCCTGGGGACGCACCGTAGGCCTGATGCGTGGTGCCGGAACTGGAGGTACCGGGCTGAGGACACGCATCTCAGGGCTAGTGCGGGAAGCAGCAACAGGGCATGCTTGGCCCTGGGGACGCACCGTAGGCCTGATGCGTGGTGCCGGAACTGGAGGTACCGGGCTGAGGACACGCATCTCAGGGCTAGTGCGGGAAGCAGCAACAGGACGCACAGGACTCTGGGGACACACAGGAGGCTTGGTGCGTGGTGTCTGCACTGGTGGTAAAGGGCTGGAGACACGCACCATAGAGCCAGTGCGTGGAGGAGACACAGGGCTCTGAAGACGCACTGGAAACCTGGTGCGTGGTGTAGGTACTGGTGGTACTGGGCTGGAGCGAGGAGGTGGTACCGGACATACCGGACCGTGCAGGCGTACTGGCTCCCTTGAGCACTGAGCCTGCCCAACCTTCCCTGGGTTGATGCTCCCCGTCGCCCGACCAGTACGGGGAGGTGTAATAACCCGCACCGGCCTATGTGGGCGAACCGGGAACACCATGCGCAAGGCTGGTGCCATGTACGCCGGCCCGAGGAGACGCACTGGTGACCAGCTGCGTGGGACCGGCTTCATGACATCCGGCTCAACACTCAATCTAGCCCGGCCGATACGTGGAGCTGGACTGTACCGAACCGGGCTATGCCTGCGTACAGGAGACACCATGCGCTCAACTGCGTAACACGGTGTCTGCCCGTACTCTCGCTCTCCACGGTCAGTCCAGGGAGTAGGCGCAGGTCTCCTACCTGACTTCGCCACACTCCCTCTTAGCCCCCCCCCAAGAAATTCTTGGGTAGTACCCACAGGCTTCCAGTCTTGCCTCCGTGCTGCCTCCTCATATCGCCGCCTCTCGGCTTTAGCTGCCTCCAGCTCTTCACGAGGACGGCGATATTCTCCCGGTTGTGCCCAAGGACCCTTTCCATCCAGTATCTCCTCCCATGTCCATGAATCCTTGATAGGCGTCCATAAATCCTGTTGCCGCTTGACACGCTGCTTGGTCCTTTTGTGGTGGGTTTTTCTGTCACGATCGTCTATAACAGGAGACCAAGGCGCAGCGTTGCGAGTGAACATGATGACTTTTAATTAGAAAAGCACGTCAATACAAAACAAAAGACGAAAGTGAAGTCCAACAGTAACAAAGACTAAACTTGGAACAAAAACCCACAAAACCCAGGTGAAACCACACAGTTTAAATATGGCTCCCAATCAGAGATAACGAGCCGACAGCTGACACTCGTTACCTCCGATTGGGAGTCATATGACTAATCAACAACAAAACCAAACATAGAAATGAACAACTAGATCCAACATAGAAATACACCCTAAATGAAAATAACAACCCTGGCTCAACAATCAGAGTCCCTGGAGCCAGAGTGTCACAAACAGGTGTTGCACCAACACTGTGTGGTTCGTCAGCTTGATGTTGTCCACCACCACCTGAGAGAGGAGGAGGAGGAGAAAAATAATCAAGAGAAAGAGAGATGGTTTGAAAAAACACATTTGGGTTCGTTTTTGTTAAATACATTTACATGTTATGTGTATGACACTAGGAATGTCGTCATGTCAGATGATCAAACTTTGTGTAGCTGAGGATATCAATCCCAACTCCTAACCTTTTCCCTTCTTTTGCAACGCAGCATGTGGCTTCAGAGGTGATGTTCTTTGGGACCAACACAGTTTTCTTTGACCGTAGTGGGGTTGGATAAGCCCTGGAGAAGCAGCAGCCTGTACACTGGGAGACAGGGACACCAGGGTTTGAGAAGACTTTGTTCTCCTTCAGTTTGCATTCCTCACAGCCCACTGTGAAGATAGTGAAGACATAAATTAATTGAAAATTGAATGAACAATCTGATCTGTAAACTTTATGCACCATGCACCGCCAATGTGTATCTCTCATCCTTGTAAGAACACACTTTGGCAATAAGGAGGTCATTTACCGATTTATATTTTCCAAGAACAACTCACTGGTCATTTTGACAAAAACAGTACTTTCACAGTAATGTAACACAAAGCTTACCGTTTGTCATGTCACTGTTTGGATAAGAGTCTGCCATGTACAGAAGAATGGACAGGATGAGGGATACTCCAATTGATTTCAACAAGCACATCATAGTGACGGGTGGCAATAACCTGACAAGAAACATTTATAAATCATTCAAAACCAACATATTCATCTCAGATATTGTGACAAGTTGATAACTGATAAACACAAAAAACAGCAGTAAAACAATACATTGGAAAAACAACATACTGAATGGAAAAGGCATTACCTGTTGTGTGTGTCTCTTGGTGGAAGCCTGTTCAGTACTCAGTGAAGAGCCTACTGCTCCCACCATGAACTTTTATACTGCTGTCCCTCTGCCCATGTGCTCAACCGTCATTAGGTAAACCCCTCCAACCTTATCAGTGATCTCTGTGTGTGAGGCATTGGCCACTTGGCTACATGCCTCATAATCCTTTAAATGAAAAAAGGAACTGCACAGCCGTCGAAAGACGAGACAAAACAAACTTCCATCCTGACTATGGATGGGAGCTCCTAATCCCTTAAACAGATGGGATGTTACTAGGTAACTGTTGTTATGCAGACGGGGGCGAGGTAGGGTCATTGGTTCATTAGTTGAACTTATGTTCATGGTCTTTTGCTTTGTAAATCATTACATCTAAAGTCATTTTTAATACTTTGAACATCTGACACAAAAGTGAAAGATTTCTCATGAAATGAATGTGTGCTCTAAATTAAGGTTATGTTGCGGTTACTGCTTAGAACTCTCTATGAACTGAATGCAAGGTAACATAACCCTAGTAACGCAAAGCAAAATGCCAATAAAACATTTGTAACTCCTCCAAATTGTCCCAGGGTGACTTGTCAATACAAACCTTTCATTTCCTTCCAAATAGGTAATTACAATAGGTAATGACAATGCATGAATGCTTGAAGAATAATTTCAGGAATATATCAATCTATCCACCTCTGAAAGTTGGAAATGTCAAGGATGAATATCAAAGGAGCAATCCGTGATTGCAAAAATAATTTTGGACTTTTAAATTAATTATATATATACCCATTGATTCTTGAATACTATAACTTATACATGCCTCATGAGCTTAGTTCAACTGTCGTACAACCTCAGAACCCAAAATATAAGCTTGTTATACTCCATTGTTTGTTAACAATGTAATTGTAAACAAACACTTTATAGTGTTGTTTACAATTACAACACAACTATAATGTTGATCATGGATGGTCAGTCCTTGCATCCATTGCTCTGTCTATGAATTTGAGTGGTTAAATTTCTCCAGCCCCATCCTTCAGCTGTTTACCGAAACAGTGGTGGGGTGTACGCTTTGTTATTGTTTGATTTGCAGATTGCCCCTTTAAGTTGCAGTACTATCTCTTCATCTTTCTTTTACCTGTGTTTTTAAATCTCCCGGCCTGTGTTTTTAAATCTCCCGGCCTTGGTTGTTTTGGACACTAGGCCCTGGCAGATGTAACTCAATAAGCATGTAGGATGGCACATGAAATCTCTGAGCTTTAAAGGCTCTTTTTAGCTTAGCAACAATGTCATGAGTCATAACTTTACTCCACTCTTACCGTAATTGTATTCCTGTATTCAAAATGTTAATTGTATAAGCTACTGTAAAGCATTAAGACGAATTGCTATTAGTATTTTATTACTTTTGTTTTTATTAACATATTGTCAAATAAATGCACTGTATGTACTTATTGTAAATGATCTGTTTAGAACTCTTCTGGATAAAGGCACACTACAATTGTCTCAGTTAGAATGAAACCAGCTTTTATTCCAAAATAAAATGTATTCTTCATGTATAAAAACATATGGCTTCTTTAATATATTGTTTACAGCCAACCAACAATCAGCTCAGACATATCCAAGAAAGCAGTCCTATTTGCACTTGTTACATCGGAGCAGTTTCTTAAAGGCCTGCTTGAAGTCCTCATTGAAGCTGGTGTAGAGCAGGGGGTTGATGAGTGAGTTAACGTATCCCAGCCACGTGAGAAAGTCTGACACCTGTGCTGAGGCATGAAACACCTGGAGGCCCACCAGTAACTCCTTAACAAAGAAAGGCAGCCAGCATAGGATAAAAGCCCCCAGGATGAGGCCCAGTGTGCGGGCAGCCTTCCTCTCTCTGGAGGCACAGATCTGTGTCCTCTCATCACAGGTCCCCCGGTCCCTCGGTCCCCCGGTCCCGCGGTCCCCCGCCGTCTGACTTACGCAGGTAGGGCCGTTGAGTATATTTAGCTCTGTGTTTAGCGTGGGGTCCGAGGCAGACTGCTCAGACGCACAGAGAGACGTTGATGCGACACGGCAGCTACTGAGGCATTTGTGGCTGCTGGCTCTCCTCTTACACTGGGCCCCCAAGGAGCTCCGTCTGTGGTACAAGGTCCGGGCTGCGATGAAGATCCTGTAGTAGAGGATGAGGATGAGGGCCATGGGGATGTAGAAGGCCCCGAAGGTGGAGTAGATGGTGAAGCCGATGTGGTCGTGCTCGATGAGACACTTGGTGTAGTTGCCGAAGTTGTCATCCCCGCTGTGCCTCCATAACAGAGGCGGCACTGAGATGAGGACGGAGATGGTCCACACGATGGTAACCATGATGGCGACGTGGCGCGGGGTTCTCTTGCAGGAATACTCCACGGCGTTGGTGATGGCCCAGTGGCGGTCCAGGGCGATGGCACACAGATGCAGGATGGAGCAGGTGCAGCAGGTCATGTCCACGCTCAGCCATGCCTCACAAACAACACATCCCAGCAGCCACTTCTTTGTGGCGATGTAGAGGACGCTAAGGGGCATCACCAAGATGGCCACCAGGAAGTCAGTGACAGCCAGAGAGCAGATCAGGTAGTTGGCAGGCAGGTGGAGTTTTTTTGTGTTCATGATCGCCAGTATGACTGCACTGTTCATTAAGGCAGTGATCAGGGTCACAATGCTGAGAAAGATCACAACCAACACCATATCAGTCTTTGGTTCCATTTTGAAGGAGCCTCCTGGTTCTGACATGCAGTTTGTTTAAACTCTTAGGCTCTAGAACTATCTACCATACTCCTCTTTCTCCATTACAGTACATTGGTCTGTGTCCCTAGTCCAATGCAGATCCTTTTCTCTCTCTTACTACCATGCTTTCCCTTATATTTGGAGCCACTGCGAAGGGGGAAAAAAACATTATTTTTGTGTTACAAAACATTGATTAGAGTAAATTATAACACGATACATGTTTTAGTTATTTGTATTGAAAATGTCTCAATTTCTCAATGAGTAGATCACTCAGAAAACCTTTCTCCACACGGTGGCAGAAGTGATCAGGGAATCAGTGATCAGTATTCACGGTAATATTGGAGGCAGTTATGCTTAGAATAGCATTCTAACTGTGTCACTGCAGCCTCATGACATCAATGTCAATACTCAGCATAAAGCTCTAAATGTTCAATTTAGGAGCATAGGGAACAGTCAGGCCTTTATTGTTGCCTACTTAGGAGTAGCTGGCTGTTTTGCATACAGGGGCAAATTGGTTTTTAATGAAGACCATGTTAAAAAGGACCAGTTTCAGTCAGTGAAACTTCCAAACAGCTGTTGATTTAAAAAACATATTTAGAGTGTCTTATTGGATAGCTGCAGACCACATTACTTATGCAAATGGTATTCTGGCTTTAGCATGCTTGAACAATGGACATACAGTGTATGTGGGATGAAATACAAAAAGCATTATTTTCATTCCTTTCATGGGCATCCCTGCTCAAACCACAACACAGGGACTGGTCTGTTACCGTTTTTCATTGGAAAGGCAATTATAAGCATTTCGAAATGTAAATATCTAGAATGTAAATGTCTAGCCTGACGTGTGCATCCATTGAGAGAGGGAAGCCTAATATGAACAATATTCAAATGGTTTCATGTTCAGCAATTTCCTTTTCAAATTAAGGATTTATATCTGCCACATGCAATCAGTGGTTCTTCAAATAATTGAATGGTGTCTTTATATAACTTTGGCATTTCAGCTAGTGGCTCTTCAAGTTTAATCACTTTGTTGACTAGAAATAGCCTACCTGTGCTGCCATCACATACTGTGGTTTACACTATTGCTTTGTCAAGGTAGCGACTGAGCTGAGTTATACACCAAAATAGTTACCATTTGGAAATCAATCAAACCCTGTCTGTGGGATAACAATAATGTTAATACTGTGCCACATACTCTGTGGAGCATTGTGTCCATAAGTGACTGGCGTGTGACTCAGCCATTCCGGTGCTAAAGTGATCAGTCATACAAGGCCATCACCCATTATCCCACTGCTCATACACAGTTCACTCATTCCCATTGATAAATATAACATCTTTGTGCTGGGTGTTATTTGACCTTTCCTCAACTATTTTTCATTTGCACATATTGAACATACAGTTGTTTTGACTTGTTGTCGTCTTAAAGTTTACGTTTGGGGCATGCATCCGTTGTTTTTCTATTATAGACATTGCAGCACCTGCAGCACCTGTACCTGGTGCAAGCTTGGGATGATGTTGTTTGAGTTGGTCCTGATATCTCTCATTAAACTCAAGAAACTACTTTTGTAGAGGTTATTATTTACCATTTTCCTCTTGCAATGCCATAATGCATTCAAAGATTAGATGAAGAAGCAAAACAAAAGCATTAGAATTGGAACTGGTCCCTATTATTGACCAACATGTTATTTTATAATATGATAGCCTATGGTACACTAGCAAAAACTAATTAAAGGGCAACCAACATATATCAGGCTATAAATGTGGGCACGTACCTTCTGAATGGTTCGATCATCGTTTATCCATCACAACACATTTCGTCTCATCCTTTGAAAGTATCCAAATAAATGTTGTGTTTTGGTGATGGAACTCTCAAATGTGTCTGAAGTCGGCAATATCTTCTCAGGACGGGTCAGATGGACCTCCATCACTTCAGAGGAATGCAGGAGTGCGCACGGCACAGGAGTTTGGCACTGTCCGCGCGCCAAAGAGGGTGCAATTTATCGATTGGAGTGACTGTAGGCTTTCTCTCTCGTTCTCTCTCTCTCTCTCTCTCTCTCTCTCTCTCTCTCTCTCTCTCTCTCTCTCTCTCTCTCTCTCTCTCTCTCTCTCTCTCTCTCTCTCTCTCTCTCTCTCTCTCCCCCTCTCTCTCGCTCTCTCTCATTCCTACATAGCATGAGAAGTTAGCAACATGGTCACGTTTGCGCATTGGGGACAGACTGAACTTTTTTTTTGTATATGCATAATACAGTAGCCTATGTGTTCCTTTGCGCAGTGCACGCACATGCATGGAATTACTATAAATGAACATACATAGACTCCCC